ACTTGTTAGAGTCATACAGCAGAAATGTATTTTTTTAAACTAAAGAAATAAAATAAAATGGTTGTGGAGAACCAATATTGTACTCAAGGACTGAAGTGAGTACATTTTCTTACAGAACAAGACAGCCCCACTCTGATCACCATATACTAAGATGCCCCACAGTATTCCTGTGATACATGAAATCTTATTATATAAAATCTCAGGGGCAACAAAAATCTAAATATGTTAAAAGCTCTGAAACATTAGAATTGTCTAAAACAATAATTACCTTCCTGAAACCTGCTTCATTTTAAGTCTAAACCTCCATCAGTCTTACTATTAATTTATTGATTCTGAAAAGGGAAGAAGTCTTTGGAAGTGGGAGTGTGCTTCTTTATCAGTATTATAAAGTGTCCACTGCCTCAAGTGGAAATGGAAATATATATGTGTATCATTTTACTTGTGCAATTCAGTAGCTATCAACTCTGGCTCTGCATTGGAATCACCTAGGGAAATTTTGAAAAACACAACTATTCAAGCTTCGGTCCAAGAAATTATGATTTAATGATTATAAAGTCTACCTTGATCAACTGAGAAAATGTGATGCACAGCTAAGGTTAGGAAATATTTGTGAGCATAGCAAAACTCATGTGTTAGGCTACCTAAACTATTTAAAAAATTAGTTTGCACCCAGGTCTCCCTTCTCTCCCCTTTGCTATAAGGATACTAAGGACCTCTGCTCAAACATTCTTACCACAATATCACTGCCTTAGACTTTCTCCCTCCGCCGAACTCCTACTACTGTCAAGTTACTATAAGTATAGCTTAGTAATTTGATGTTTCTGTGCAGGGTGTGTTTATGTGTGTGTGTCCCCAACAGGAGTGTGATTCTTTAAGGAGAGGAATAACATCTTCATATTTACCATGTACCTTTCTAGTAAAGTGCACATTACACAATAGGTACTCTGCAAAAAGGAATGTTTTGAAATTATATATGTAATTTGCATAACCATAAGATATTTATAAAGGTAGAAATAAAACAATTTATATGACTTATGAGACCATCAGCTTATGTTAGTGACAAATGTTTGACATGATAGATACAAGAAACATGAGTCTCAAAGTGTTTCTTAGACTATAGTCAAAGGCAAAACTGTCTGGAGAATTACATCACCATGGGGAATGTCATCTGAGCTTTATGGAATCTGTGTTAGTTTGCTGGGTCTGCATAACAATATACCACAGGCCAGGTGGCTTAAACCACAGATACATATGTTCTTACAGTTCTGGAGGCTGGGAAGTCAAGATCAAAGTACAGTCAATTCCCTTCCTGGGGAAGGGTCTCTTTCAGGCTTACAGAAGACAATCTTCTCACTGTGTCCTCACATGGCTGGAGAGGAAAAGGATGGAGAGTGAGTTTGCTGGTGTCTCTTCTCAGGTGGACACTATCTCTGAATACAGTCACATTGAGGGTTAGAGATTCAATATGTGAATTTGGGGAGCACATAATTCAGCCCATAGCAAAATCATTCCACAGTACCTCTGTCCAGTTGTCATTTGGCTATTCTATCAGTGAGTCTAGTGGTGAGAAATCAGTACCAGCAGAATTTCACTGTGGGAAAGCTCTAACGGTGAGAAGGCATAACAGATATGAAGTCAAATTTGCCTCATTAAATCTTCAGTTTTTGGTCCCATGTTGAGTTTTGGGGTCATCACAAAACAAAACAAACCTCCCTCCCTCATGAAAGGTAACTGCAGCAATTAGTTTGCAAGAAATATAATTTCTAATTTTACCCAAGGAATTGAAACAGGGTGGTCCCCAGGAAAGGGGGAGGTTCCAGGTTCCCTGCCCCACCCAAATGGAGGGTAGAGCTGAGCAGAGAGAGAAGAAGCTGCAGAGGAGACTGAGGAAGGAAGCAGGATGGAGCCAGAAGGAGACCTGGAGGAGGCACATGGAGCCTAGAGACACGTGAAGAAACTGATCTGGTCCCCAGGGACTAAAATATTTACTATTGATAGCAGATCAAATTGATAGCAAACCAAACTGATAAGAGGGGAAAAAAAAAAGCCATGATATCCATTCTAAGGATTTGTGCCACCTACCCCGCCAGGCAAAGTAACCAGACTCTAGCGTGCTTGAAGGTCTTTAATCCATAAGAGGTTCAAAGGAGAAAATGAGGTGGGGAGAGAAAGACAGACTCCTAGTCTAACTCTGAAGTCACGCAGCCAAGCAGGCCAAGCCCAGAATGAGGTGGCTGAGGCAAAAGCGCTTGTCTTTTGGCAGTGGACGGGGTGACACAGATGTGGGTGAGACCCATGGGGAGGTGACAATGGCATCTCTTATCTTGATGTTGATTTTGCTCTTTTCCTTCCGAGCTTGTCTGGTTGTTTCTGACCCTTTTCTGTGGGTCCCCACTGGAAGGTGCTTTAGACTTGTGGCAGGCTTTGGGGCCTTGCTCTGGGCCAATCCCATTTGATGGAGTTTTACCCACGAGGAGACGGGTAACTTTGGGTGCTTGATTTAGAAACTAGATTCTTTGCCTTTCCTGTCTTGTTTCCTAGTTGTATTGAAGTTCCTTCCCATTAAAGTCTCATATGTTTTGTGTTGATGCGGTGGATGGCAGAACCCATTTAGAATAGGCAGGTTTGCGGGGTTTGGGCTGCCCCTCTCCCTGCCCTGTAACAGAATGACTTTAAAATCATCAAAAGCAGGATTCCCTTTTCTCACCCACCCGTCTATATCTTGAACTGTGAGGATCCACCTCCTTTAAAGTACTCATAAAGGAAGGATACATTATAAACTTTTCTGCCAAAAAAAATTTTCCTCATCACAGAATGGTTACTCATCACATATGAGTTTTACTGAAATGCCAAGTGTTTGGTTTGCCCATCACAATATTAAATTAAAATGGTGGGTAAAAACTTATTGTGAGTTTATGTATTGTCTGTTTTATACAGCTGTTTTACACTTACCACAGTTGAGATTTCTGATCATAGCGATGTCAAAGTATTAATTCATAAAAATAAATTTACCATCTACCCTGATGGACAGGCTTAAAAAAATTTTTTTTCTTTTATGAGAGGTCTCTTCCAGGATGGTTTTCTGGCCCATGAATCAGTAAGACTCTGTATTACTGATTTTCTGCTGGAATAGGACTTTAAAATAACTTTTTTCCCCCTACCTGACCCACCTTATTATGTCAATGTTACTTAATTTTTCTTCAGTGAAATACAAGAGGACAGAGATTGCAGCATGTAACTGGAAACAACCCCAAATTGAAATTTTGTTGATTATTATGATGTAACCCTATGTATTTTCCATTTCACTTCATTATATACCATTGCTTTAAATATAAAAAAAGTTTCAGTAAATTGATATCACAGGAAAACATATTCAGTTTATGACTTTGAATAAACTGGTTGATATACTTAAAAATAACCCTAACTCCTTCCTGGGAATTGAGGAGGTTTTGAGGAAAGGAAGCAGTAGGCTCCTCTTGAGAACCTTGCCAGACAAAAAAGTTTGTTTGAAACCCTGGGGTTTGTTTGCTGTGTTCATAATATACTTTAACCTCTATTCCCTTAGACTTTGTTCCCCTGTGTTGTTTGCAAACAGGACTTACTTCCATGGGCTTATTAGAACCTGAAGGAAAAATCCCTCCAACTCATCACTCTTTTTCTCAGTGGCATAAATAACCTGCCTTTCCAGCTAATATTAGTTGAGCATTTACTGGGTAGTTGGCTTTCCTTCTAAACAGTTTACATTTATCAAAACCTTTAATTATACCCAAAAGTCTATAAGGACATGATATTTATGCCCAATATGTAGGGGGTGGAAACTGAGGCAAAATTTATCCCAGGTCAGTTAGAGGGTAACCGATAGACAGCATCCCAACATAGGTGTTCTGAATGGCTATAATGTGGTGCTTTAATACCTGAACATTAGATTTACAATCTTAAAACAATAATAAATGTGTAAAATTAAAATACATAAGCCTTTGATAATGCTGATTGTGTTATAAACAGAAAGGTTTTTAAAGAAAACTTTTTAAGGAAATTGTGATGCACATACTGTAAAGTGCATAAACTATGTTCAATGAATTTCTAGAGTAAATAAACTGCTGTATCTATCACCCATATGGTGATTCAACTTTCTAAATAATATTAATTAATTATCCACCTTTCCAGTGTTAACTGTGACACAGAAGAAAGTTGTACTAAGATAAGGCTTGGGTATGAAACACTCCTTTTAACCTATCAGTACCTTTGGTTGCTTAACTAGTCCACGTTATAAACTAAGATTTGTCGAATTCTTTGGTTTGCCACATAATGAAATGTGTCAGTATGGTTTTCTGAGAACTTCCTTTGTAGAGCAGGGGTTCTCAAAATGTGATTTCCAGACAAGCATCCTCACTATGACCTATAAACTTACCAGATCTACAAACTCAAGGACTTCAATTCAGACATGTAGAGCAGAGATTCTGGGGGTGAAGCCTAACAAATTGTTTTAACAATGCCCAGAGCTGCTTCTGATGCATGTTAAGGATGAAGCTCTTGATATAAATTCGTCGAAACAGTTTTGGTTTGTGACCCTGCAGCAACTCTGTCAGATAAATACCAGGGTCTGAAGTTTTACGCTTTAATAACGGTAGCAAATTCCAATCACCTCTTTGTTTGTAAGTACCCTGCGGGTAAAATGCTTTTTCATTTTAACTATCCGTGTAGCCCTTCCATCCAATGTTGCATTTTAGGATGAATTAAAGCAGACCCCTAACCTCCCAAGCGCTCCATCGCCCAGTCTGAAGTTGACCAGTTTGCCAACAAGGCCTCTGCCTGGAGGGGGCAGAGAGTTCAAAATCCAGAGGCGGGAACAGATCTCGACCAATCAGACGCCAGACTCGAGTCACTCGCCCATCCTGGCGATGTGATTGGTGATTTACAGCGGCGGAAGCGCCCTTCTGTGGCCACGCCCACAACTTCCAGCTTAGACCAATCGTCGCTCTGCGCTCCCAGCGGCGCAAGCGGCGGGAGTGATTTAACATGGCGGAGGAGGCCGCCTCGGCCGCCCGCAGTCCGCGGGGGTGTGCGGACGGGGAGGATGCGCAACCCCTGGAAGAGCGGCTGGGGGACGCGGCGGGAGACGACCAGGAACAGTTCGAGTGCCAGGAACTGCTGGAATGCCAGATGCAGATGGGGGCGCCCGCGGAAGAAGAGGACGGGGGCCTGGTGGCCGAAGCCGAGGCTGTGGCTACCGGCTGGATGCTGGATTTCCTCTGCCTCTCTCTCTGCCGGGCCTTCCGCGACGGCCGCTCGGAGGACTTTGAGCGCACCCGCGACAGCGCGGAGGGTGAGTGTGGGGGCGCCGCGTGGCCCCGAGCTGCGCAGGAGGCGGGAGCCGCAGTGTGAGGCGGGGTGGGGGGGGGTTGGGGGTAGTTGGGGGGGGGCTGAGGGGATTGGGGTTCTCCAGGTGGAGAGCCGGGGCACCCCAATTGAGGTGAACGGTGGTTGGAATCCACTTCTGCCTGTTAACCTGCTGCTCGGTTTTACTGATGGGTAAAATGAGAATGTAAGATCCCTTTCTAAGGTTGATTAAAAAAGCTTAAAATGGGCAAAATTGCGCCCACCCAGTGTCAGTCCTTTGGTCTCCTTTGGCTCAGGTATTTGGTGTTTATACTAAGGTGTTCTTGTAGTGGCGTTTATTCAGCAGTCCCTGTGGCCTCCGAGTGACCGCTCGGCATCATTGTTGACAATTTCTTTGACAGGTATTTCAACCTCTTTTGGCCTATTTGCTTAGTAGAGGCAGCAAAAAGTAACTTGTCAGTGAAATGTAATGCCTAGGCAAAGACCTTCTAGCTTGGAGATGATCAGCCTGGCTTTTTGCATGACAAATGCTCAGGTATTTATTTTAATGTTGTTGGCACTCAGCTTCTTGAATACGCTCAACTTCTTGCAGCTGAATACAGCCCCAGGATAGTATTTTATAGGAAGTTCTCAGAAAACCGTATTGTCACATTTATCACGTGGTAAACCTGTTGTTTATGCAAATCTTGGTTTGTAGGGTAAACTAGTTGAGCAACCTTAGTATGGATGTGTTAAAAAGTGTCTTCCATACCCAAGCCTGTCCTTAGTTCAACAGCTTTTCCTCTGTGTCACAATTAACACTGGGATGATGGATAATTAATATTAATTAGAAAGTTAAATCCTAAAATGCAGCCAGTTCACCATAATTAGAATTAGTAAAAGGTCCTCTTTGGAGGGGAGGTTAAAATCAATAAATTGGAACGGGAAACATCAGTATGAACTTCTGTTTAGTTATAAATGAATATATATAGAAATGTGTTTGTATATATTTGTACTCATATGTACAAATGTTAACAGGTAAGTATACACACATTTTCCATGTTCTGTTTGTTGGATGAAGTGTATAGAAACAGCGTGATCCTAGTAACAACAAGTATACTTAGCACCAGATCTTGGCTTTTAGTACTATTCTCCAATAAAGGGAACCAGAGTTCTTTACAGAAATATACCAGATGAACAGAAAAGCAAGGCAAATAACCCACAATGGTGGATTATAAAGGGACCCAGGCCAACTAAAAGAGCTCCCAGTGGCCAAAACTGAAACAACTCGTTATATAAATAAATAAAATAGTATTTGATTATAACCCAGAATATAAAATAAATACTCATGATTTCATTCATATTGATGTAAATAAATGATCCAGTAAATAAATGAATATGAGAGGAGACAAATTCCCCATGCAGATTAATTCCAAATAATTTATGGAGTTGATCTGTCCTCAGAAAAGTGGAGCATAACTACTTTTTTTTTTTTAAGATTTATTTATTTTTATACAAGAACTGGGGTACAGGCCAGATGCGTGGGAGGGTGAGAGGATTCACCAGAGACAGAGCGGGGAACAGAGCAGGCAGACTGATGAAGTACACTGATGAGGGGAACAGTGGGCAGGACAGGAGAGGTCTGCTTCGCCATGTGGGAGTCTCGCCATCAAACCGCCTGTGCCACCAGGGAGGCCCTGGAGCATAACTACTTTTAAGTGGGCTCTGTATGTAGTGACTTCCAAAGAAGTCATTTGGGAATAACTTTACAGAGTAAAGAAAGCTAATACAACCTTATACTTGAGTGATCAAGGTCAATGTCAGTATCAACAGTTACAGTACTCTGTACATTTGATATGATCTGATGAAAATGGAACTCAGTTCTATGATCGCCCTCAAAACCTATGCTGTCCAGATTAATCATGAGAAAAATGTCAGATAAATTCCACCAGAGGGGCAGTCTACAAAATGTCTGTTACTCCTTAAAATTGTCAAGGCTCTCAAAACCAACCAAGGGTTGAGAAATTTTCATAGCCATGGGTGCTTAAAGAGACATAATAACTAAATATAATATGTTCTGGATAAGCTCTGCAACAGCAAAAGAATTAAATGAAAAACTAAGAAAATTTGAGTAATGCATGGATTTTAGTTAATAAAAAATAGTAATGGTTTATGTAACATAACATGCTGGTTTACAATGTTAATAATAGGGGGAACTGAGTGGAGGATAAATCCTACCTCTGCTATCATAATCTGTAAATTTAAAACCCTTCTAAATGTGAAAGTTTTTTTTTTTTTTTTTTTTTAAAAAATAGTGCAGACTTCTCAGGTTGCTAAATCAAGATCCAAAGGAATACTTTAGGCCATTCCCAATATTTTAAGGTTAGGGGCATAGAAACCCAAAAAGAGTAAACCTTTTCAAGTTGCACTGCTAACCAGTAATGGTTGTCAAATTGTGAACATAGTGTTGCCTCTGTATTCCCGTTTTTAACAAAAAGACTTCCATCACAATTTTATCTGCTACATTTTTCATTGTAAAAGTATGCAACTCTTGAAAATTCATAGTTCTTTTATTCCAATTCAGAATTGTTCACACACTTCAATGTACCTTAGATAATGTCTTTTACATAGTATGTTACTCTTAACATATCCCCTATTATGGAAAGAAGTCTAGAAAAGGGTATGCAAGTAAATTGTCCGAGTCTGACTCCCAGCTCTTCTATTTCATAGCTGTAAAACCTGAAGCAAGTTACTTACCCTTTTGTTACCTTAATTTCCTCATCTGTAAAGTGGTAATAATGGTATATAATTACTAAAGCTGCAAAGAAAAGGATAGGAACTGATAAGTATAAAACAAGATTCTTCAACCTCAAAAATTTTTACATTTTGCAACACGTACTTCTTTATTGGGTTTATGCAGCAGAGTGAAGGGGTTTGGGAGTGTGGTTCTGTGCATTATAGGATATAATAGGATCCCTGATCTCAGCCTACTAAGGTGTCAATAACCTACGGTTCACTGAATCTCCAGCCATTACCAAATGACCACAATCAACCCCAGATGAAAACCTTTGTATAAAGTGCTCAATGGTTTTCTAAGTGCTTAAATATAGTTGCTGTTGTTGCTGGCCATTAAATCCTTCCTGATGTATTTTTCCTTTCATCAGTGCTTGCATACAGATATTGAAAAAATTAATAGCTAGTTCAGCTAGACTAGGTGTTTGCCTTTGTTTTTTTGTTGTTGTTGTTTTTGTTCTTTGTTTTTTGGGTTTTTTTTGTTTGTTTGTTTGTTTGGTTTTTTTGCTTAAGCAGGTACAAAGAACAGAAGGACAATGGCATGTTAGTCTCTAAATTGAATATGAAGGGAAGTAAAGAGATAAGTGATTTGACATTCTTCACTAGAATGAATTAGTTCTTTCTTTTGGCTACTTACACTGTATGGAATTTATTAAAGTTCTCATTAGTCACTTGCATAACCTTTCATTTAATTTGTGTCTTCTCAGTCAGACTAAAACCTTCGTGAGAGGCAGGATCTATTTTATTTCACAGTCACCAGTCAAGCAGTAGCTTGTCAGTAAACGCATATTGAATGAATTGTGTTTAACTAGTATATTAAGCATTGTGCTCTCCTTAAACCCTGTTTAATTCTGTATGACTGTATTTGAGTCAGATAATCTCTGGAATGGCATAAGATCATGGAATCTTAGAGTTGAGGAAGCATACATACAATCTTAGAGTTGAGGAAACAAATAAATGCATCTATTTATTTAATGACTATAATACTGCTTTTTAGGTGATTTTTTTTTAAAAAGATTTATTCATTTATTTATGCATAGAAGAACTGGGGTTTATGCGAGAGGTGCAGGGGTGAAAGATTCACCAGAGAATGCGGGGAGCAGAACAGGTGGATTTACTGAAATACACTGCTGAGGGGAACAGTGGGCAAGATAGGAGAGGTCTGCTATGCCATATGTGGGTTAGCTCCCTGGCCACGATTGTACTCAGGCCCTAGTGGTGATAGCGTTGAGACTGAACCCCTTGGCCACCAGGGAGGCCACATTTTGGGGTTGTTACTAATTTTACCTTTAATAAAAGTTATTACACATCAGCCAACCTCTAGGAAAAGTATAATGCTGACAGTTTGTCAGATCTTAACTTAAACACTGTTTCTTCAAAGAAGTCTTGCCTCATATTACCTCTTCTAAAAACTGCTTAAACATGCTCTATATTTCCTTATTGTATGATTGTATGATGTACATTTTTGGTTTTGTTCACATTTTTACTTTGTTTTCTCCTTTGTCTTTAACTGCAGCATGTTAATAAACTCAGTGAGGTCTGGGAATACTTCTTATTCTCTATTGTAGGTTTGTACTCATTGCCCAGCATAACTCTGGGTGAGCATTCAGGTATTTGTGAAATTAATGTTATTTATGTTTTTAACATAAAACTTTGTAAACTGAACAGTCTCACTTAACCGAAACCTTGACAAATAATATAAAATGTTTCCTTAACATAGGAGTTTTAAGTTTTAAAATAAGCTTCCAACTAGTAATTCGATACATTTTGGTTTGGATCAAAATTTCCCTTTTTGGGAATATATAATGCTGCCTATAAAAGTAGTTTAAAGTATTCTGCATGTAAAACATCAGTTTTATTTTGAGGAACGATGTTCTAAGTTTATGGTCATTTTTATATCACATAACTCAACAAACAAACCAGACAGAGGCACTGCTGGATCAGTTTAATTTTTTGTTTTGTTTGATTAAAGTTTACTTATTCTTTTTCAGCTATTATTCATGGATTGTCCAGTTTAACAGCTTATCAATTGAGAACTATCTACATATGTCAGTTTTTGACAAGAATTGCAGCAGGAAAAACACTTGGTAAATACGTATTTTTATCTTACATTAGCAGTATCTCAAGGTGTAACTAACAGCAAGACAATGAGAAGAATCAGGTGAAAACTATTGTTTGTTTTTTTAAGGGTTTACACACATTCATTTGGTGTATACATCCATATACTTGCATCCCTAAGCAAACAAAAGAAATGTAGTGTACCTGTCTTCATAGAGTAGTGGTTCTCAAACTTTTTAGTCTGCATCAGAGTCATTAAAGAACTTGTTAAAAAACAAAATGCTGAGAGTATCCTTACCCACCATGAGTTTTTGACTCAATAATGTGTAAAGTATCCTGAAATGTACATTTTTTAATAAATTCCCAGGTTATTCTGGTAATGCTGTTAGGCAGCCACTCTTCTTGGACTCTGTCTTGGCAATTTCACTCTAAATTTGAATGTATGGTAACTTTGTTATAAGTGATTCCTATGATATTTAAGACTCTTACTTGAACTTGATGACAGCACTTATTTATGTAAAGGAATGTGATTTATAGCTGTATCTCTCTCCCATCTTCCCATAGTTCATTTTAGATTATAATGGGTAAACTACTTTAATTTCTCAATAAATGAATGGTATTTACCACATGGTTATTTGAAAGAATCTTAGTGCACATAACTGCATATCTAATTGGTTTTTATTCTTTCAAAATGGTTTTCCAGCAATTTCAAGTGGTAGGCCATACTTAAACGAAACTGCTTACTTATAAACATGTTGTATTACATAGAATCCCACTGTATAACTGCCTTCTCGTGGCCTCACTAATCTGTGGCTCCTGTAGCATGGTTTGTGTTGGGTTATATAAGAAGTTAGGTTTTGAGTTGGTGCCAGGATCATTAAGTGGATAGGACTAGAGGCAGAGTCCATGTGGAAGACAGAACTATAAGTAGGTCTGGGTCTGTTACTGAAGATAAATTAAAAAAGACAGATATGGACACAAAAGAATTCCAGACCATGCAGATCATATGTTGACAGTTATTTTGTAAGTTAAATGTGACAAGACCTTTTAATGTTCACAGATGGCAGTTGTCCAGTATATCTTAGTTTCTCCCACCCAATCTCCACAAACTTCCCTTCAAAAAAAAGATATCAAGAAAGCTTATATCATCTATTTTAAAGATAAATCATATGCAATAATCACATCAGTATTGCCTATGGTACATATCAAGTAATTCAGCTTTTTCTTGTAATGTCATACCTTTTCTATTTCTTGGGAGCACTTACATCATCAATAGTAGTGCTTCTCATAGGTTCCATGTTTGTTATTCAGGGTTTACAGTATGGCACTAAGGATGAAATACAAGCAAAAACTATGAGAGATTATTTTCTACTGTGATAACAGGTTTATGTGTACTTTGTGGTTGTAAATAATAAAATAAACTATTATCTCTGTATGCATTATACACTGATGACATACCTAACTTTATCTTAGTTTTTTTGATATTTCAAGTCTACCCATTTTGTCTGCTAATTCTTTCAAATTGTTGCAGATCTCCAAAAACTTTTCTAATGTATTTACTAAAAAATAAAATAAAATCCGTATGTAAGTGGACTCATGCACCCGTGGTTTTTGAGGATCATGTGTGTGTGTTATCCCTTTGCTTAATTTTTAAGTGTTTGCTCTGTAGCAGCACTGCCCAGTATGTGAGCCACATACATGATTGAGAATTTTTTAGTAACATTAAAAAAGTAAAAAAAAAAAAAAAGGTGGAATTAATTTTAGTAAAACCTAGTTCAATATTTCTAAAATGTGTTTTATTATATAATCCATATAAAACTTGTTTACAAAAAGCAGATCTCAGTTGGGGTAGCTTCGTTTTAACTGCTCAGTAATGACATGTGGCTCGTAGCTTCCATGTTAACTTCAGTCTCTGTTCCACATAGCTTTATTTTACTATTTTTTAAAGTTGTAATTTTTTTTTAAAAAAGATTTGTCTGTCTGTGCATACAAGAACTGGATCCTTAGCCTTTTATTAAATGAAACCAGAGAAGAAAATAGCTGCAGATCATTACCTCACCTCAGAAGGACTTTTTCCTCTGGAATTGTAATGATTCTCATTCTCATTGCTTCTGCAACTGTCCTACATCTTTAAAAACATAAATTTACAATTTGTCCAGTTTTTTCATAGTTATAAAGGAAATGTTGGCCTGCTGCAGTATTCTACATTCTACCTAGAAATGAAAGTCTAACTGTAAATTTTTTTTTAAGATTTAGCATATATGCATTTTTCTGTATCACTTTCACAAAAGGAAGACAGGTTTTGTAGTGAGGATTAGGTAATGTTTGTTTTAATGCAGTTAGACCTGTAAACTAGTTAAGAATTGTTACTATGACATCTCAAGTAAAATAAAGTTTATTTTAGTTCTTGAAATCAATATGTTAGTAAAGAAATTTTTCGTAAACCAAACAGCTTTTTTCCATTTTTAAAGTTGATTGTTATGAGGAAATTAACTTGAAAAGTCCTGTCATTGCCCTAAACTTGTAAATAAATACAAGAGCAGTCCCTGGAATGTAGTATGCCCTCAGTAAGTATTTAATGAGTGAAATTAATGTATAAAAAACTGACAAATAAATTTCTACTTAGCTGTTAAATTATTTTTTTCTGTTTTTAAAAGATGCACAGTTTGAAAGTGATGAGCGAATTACACCCTTAGAATCAGCCCTGATGGTTTGGGCTTCAATCGAAGAGGAGCATGACATGTTTTATGAAGAAATACAAAATTTAATTAAAATTCAGGTATGATTGTTGTATTTATAGTTATTATTTTGTAAAAATATATCTAAAGAAATTAAGAGCTACCTAAAGTGGAAAGTAAACCCAGAGTAAAATTTCCTTTTATTGTTCTCTTTAGAAATTTTGGCTTATATTCCCGACATGTTTATAGTCCTTTGGTTTATAGCACTGATATAAGCACTAAGGACTTGGATATAATGTGTATATTGCTCCCACTTCAGGAAATGTGCTGCATGTCTTTAAAGATCTGATCACCACCAACTTTCAAAAACTAGTGGGATGTGCTCTGTCAGTTTGTATTTAAAGATTATAAATATGACAAAAATAGAATATGTATCGTTAATAAGTTCATTGATTTTTATAATCAGAAGAATGTAAAATTGTAATCATGTAGAGAGAATTTTAGGACTAGCCTGTTAAAAAAAAAGTAAGACATCAAAACAGTCATTTAAAGATGTAATGGGGAAAATATGGTTTGAGAGCAGTAGGTGAGATTTTCTAACTAAACTTTTTCTGGCTGTTGAAATTTTTTTTTTTTTTTTTAAGATTTATTTATTTATTCAAGCACTGGGTACAGTCAGAAGCGCGGGAGGGTGAGAGAATTCACCAGAGCCAGAGCGGGGAACAGAACAGGCAGAAGGACCGAAGCATACTGCTGAGGGGAGCAGCAGGCGGCAGGAGAGGTCTGCGCGCCATGTGGGACCCTCCTCTGGTGGCCGGGGAGCAGCCGGGAATCGAACCGGCGCTGCAGAGGCTGCGGGCAGCTTCACAGCCCAGCGCTTAACCGCTGTGCCACTGTAGAGGCCCTGACTCTTGAAATTTTTTATATGGATTAAGTGGGAGAGAAAATGCCCAAGAATTAATTATTAGTGGTTAGTGTGGTGACTGCCAAGTAGAATGAGAAGGAAATGGGTAGCACAAAAACTGCTTTTGAAAATTTCAACCCATGGCAAAGAGATTTGTCATGTTATCCTCATTTTATGGGACTCTGGAAGGAGCTGACCTTTGTAATATACCAATGAAAAGTTGAGTGGGTAAAAATACGCTACATAGCAAACATGTAATATGTCACTATTTTGCCAAATACTATTCTAAGCACTTTCATATATGTATCTTTAATCTTGACAACAACCCCATGATATGGATACTGTTATTTCTACCATTTTGCATGTAAGATAGTTTGAGCAGAGAGGTTAAAAAGTTTGCTAAGTTTACAAAGCTAGCTAGATGGTAATGTCCTACCATCATTGATATCCAAAAGACCACTTTATAAAATGATTATTTAAAAGAATCTGGCTTCCTAAGTTTGTTACAGTTTTCAGAAATCCTAACTAGCAAATTGAATATATTCTACTAATCACAAATACTACCTCTCTCATTGTCCATTTGCTCAAAATTAATAATTACGTTGACCCCAAATGTATATGGCACAGTTCCTTACCTTTTTACTAGTGGCTGTCTTTCATTTGCCCTAAACTAGAAAGAGATAGAATGCTGGCCATTTGGAAAATAATTCTTATCATTTTCAAATCACAGTTATTTCATTTTTAAAGTATTTTATAGCCTTTTTCAAATTAAAATTGTTGAACTCCATAAAAATATTTTATTTATTTATTTATTTATTTATACAAGCACTGGGTACAGTCAGAAGCGCGGGAGGGTGAGAGAATTCACCAGAGCCAGAGTGGGGACCAGAGCAGGCAGAGGGACTGAAGTACACTGCTGGGGGGAGCAGCGGGCGGCAGGAGAGGTCTGTGCGCCATGTGGGACCCTCCTCTGGTGGCCGGGGAGCAGCCGGGAATTGAACCGGCCCTGCAGAGGCTGTGGGCAGCTTCGCAACCCAGCGCTCAACTGCTGCGCCACCGGGGAGGCCCCCCATAAAAATATTTTAAATGAAGTAGTTTAAACTCATCTGAGAATCATTTAAATATTAAACAATAATTAGGTTTTTAAAAAGCAACCTAACCACCTAAGGTATGTACTGTGCTACTTTTTTTAGGCAATAGCTGTTTGCATGGAAAATGGCAGTTTTAAAGAAGCACAAGAAGTCTTTGAAAGAATATTTGGTGACTCAAATAACCACACGGTAATTATTAGTTAAAAATCATAGAATTCTAAAACTGGTTTTATGGAGTGAGGAAAACTGAAAGAATGTTGGAGAAAAGGAATGCTTTATGTTGCCCAATAGAAATATAATACAAGTCACATATGAGATTTTAAATTTTCTAGTAGCCACATTTAAAAAGTAAAAAGAAACAAATGAGACTAATTTTAATAACATTTTATTTAACCCAATATATCCCAAAACTCATCATATTGAAGTATTTGTACTTTGTACTTACTTTTTTGTACTAAACCCTTGAAATGTAGTATATTTTGCACATGTCTAAATTCAGGTCTAATGCATTTCAAAGACTCATTAACCAGGTCTGACCTGTGGCTACCATATTTGGACAATGCAGGTTAGAAGAAGGTATTATAACTTACTTATTTTTCCAGAAGTTTATTATGTGCTCATTATAATTTTGGGGAGAGAGGAAATAATGTTAATTTAAGGTCAGTGGAACTTAGTTTTTTAATATTAAAAACAGTGTTAATGAAGTAAATAAGGTTATTCAAAGAAAGTAGTTTTGTAACTTTTAGTAATGTTTTTATTAAATAGTAGCATGTTCTTTGTTTTGTGTTTAAGTAGGTAAGTTTTCACAAAATGAACATACTTGTGTAACAAGTCTCTAGATCAAGAAAAAACATTACTAGCACTCTTTAGTCCTTTCCTTCCCACCTTCTCAAGACTATCCACCATCCTGATTTGTAACATCCGGAATTAGTTGTATTTATTTCTGCACTTTATCTATTGGAATCATATAGCAAGTTTAATTTTTCTAAGATCCATATTATTGCTTGTAACAACAACATTTTTCATTGTTTCTTTATCGAAATGTTCTGTTGATGGACATTTGAGTAATTTCTATATTTTTTTCTGTCCCTTTACATGTCTTTTATGCATATGCATTTCTATAGAATACATACTTAGGAATAAAAAGGATCAGTCCTAGGGTATGCATGTACTTAGTTTTAGTAGACACTGCCACACACTTTCCCAAAATGGCTATATCATTTCTTCCAGTAGTGTAGAAGAGTTCCAGTTGCTCCAGAGCACTTATCTGTGGTTTTCATTTTAGTCTTGTCAAATATGTAATATTAATTGGGTTTTAATTTTTGTTTCCCTGATGACTAATGAATTTTTGTACTGCTGGTATAGAACTGGGACATAATCATCTTCATTCACTGAAGGACTAAGCCAAGTGGAGCATAGTAGTTCTAGTAAAGCTCAGTTTATCTCTAAGTTGCCCCTATTTCTAGGGTATAAACCCTCCAGAGATTTCTCCTGAAAGTCCTATATGGTTATTGGATTCCTTGTCCTTACATTGTTGCCTTAGCACTTTGAAATTACTGAAAATGCCACTTCACGTGTACTTAACAAAGAAAAGAACCTTATGGCCAGAAAGCAAAATGGAAAGTGCTTAAACATCACTCGTGTTAATAATAAGGGAAATACCAAATGATATATTGGAATAGTAGTCCCATCCATCAGACTGGCAACAATTAAAATTAAAATGCCTTAAAATACCAACAGTTGACTGAAAAGGTAAAGAAATGATTAGATTGTCACACCTCTACTCAAGAATGTTAAAATAGTAAACTTTGGAGAGCATTTTAGCAAAATGTATAAGCGTGCATTCCAGCAATTCTAATTCTAGATAAATACTCTGAAGTAGCTATTTTCACTTCCATTGCATATTTGAAAAGCAATGAAGCTTTATTTTATTTTTTTTAAAAAGGCCCCACTGAGATAATTTCTTGCCTAAGAAGTAGAAATTTTTTAAAAGCCCTATGGCTTTTAGTCAACCAGTATTGAAAGCATATTGTCTAAAGGAAAATGTATATTGTGTACAACAAGACATGTAGAAAGATGTTCACAGCATTGTGATAAGAGAAATAACTGTAAAGTTTTCAAAAGTCTGGGAGAATGGATAAATAAATTCATTTTTGATCAGTGGAATACTTTATAACAGTGAGAAATAACTAGTTCTGCAGATATCAAGTCAACTTGGATAAATGTCATAAGTAAAATATGACAAGTTTCAGAGTAATATGTAGTATAATACCGCTTGTATAAAGTTAAAACTGTGCTAAACAATAGTATATGAACACATATATAGTACAAGCATAAAGAAATGAATGGGCATGGTAGATTGTAAATTCAGCATAATGGTTCCCTTGAAAGAGAAGGCTTGGAGTAGGATTTCCAGTCAAATTATGGTAGTAAGCAAGAATTTCAATTATACTGATAATGTTTAATTTTTTATATTTGATAATGAACATTAAAGCTTAAATTTTGTCCTTTTGTGTATTGTGAAATATATATTTTTTTAAAATGAAAAAATAATGTTGGTGGACCATTTAAAAGAGGAGAAATTTTTTTATTTATTTTTTTAAAATAGAGGCATGTTTTATTTATTTATTTGTTTGTTTGTTTGTTGTTTATACATGCACTGGGTACAGTCAGAAGGGAGGGTGAGAGAATTCACCAGAACCAGAGCAGGGAGCAGAACAGGCAGAACGATGAAGTACACTGCTGAGGGGAGCAGCGGGTGGCAGGAGAGGTCTGCACGCCAGGTCTGCACGCCATGTGGGACCCTCCTCTGGTGGCCGGGGAGCAGCCAGGGATCGAACCATCGCCGCAGAGGCCGCGGGCAGCTTCGCAACCCAGCGCTCAACCGCAGCGCCACCAGGGAGGCCCAAGAGGAGAAATTTTTAAGTCTCTTAATTGTAGCTCTTTGAATTTTTAAAGTGATTTCAGTTTAATAATGTATGACAGAATTTCTTGTATTTTATTTGTGATTTATGTTTTAATACATTTCCTCTTTCTTCTTTAGCCTATAAAAAGGAAATTGCTTACAATAATCTCTCAGAAGGATACATTCCATTCTATCTTTCAACATTTCAGCTACAACCAAATGATGGAGAAAATTAAGAGTTATGTGAATTATGTGCTAAGTGAAAAATCATCAACTTTTTTAATGAAGGTATGCATATTTCAGAGAGACTGTAATAATAACTTAGAAGGAATTGTTATAAAGGAGAACATTTGAAATAGAAATCCTTAAAAACTAATCAAAATTTTGTTTTGTGATTTTGTAGACAAAAGTTGAGGGGGAAACATCAGAATAAATTAAGAAATAAGTGAAGACAAATATTTAATTTTAATTAAATTTTTAAAGAAAATTTTACACATTATTGGAAAAAGTAAAATGGGGTTGGAGACATTTAAAAATTTTTTTGTAATATTTTATTTTCTCTCAATCTCAAAAGTATTAAAACTTTGCACTCTGCTGTCCCCTCTCAGGGACATCGGAATTCTAGCATATCACTCGGATGTCCCCTCTCAATTTATTAGTGATTACGGGGAATTGAGTTATTTCAACGCAACTTTTTGAGACATGCATGTTTCCCTGAAGTTTTATCTTGAAATGGCACAAGAAATTAAATCAAAATATTGTAACGTGAGATGCGTGCTCACGACGGTCCGAGCACTTCGCGACGCCACTTGAAAAGAGCAATAAGGGGAGTTTGTAGAAGAAAGGTCGGTTTTCGAACATAGTGCGCACTGTATAATGAGATATATCATTACAAATAAACAAGTCTACATCTGGAGGAAAAGATTTTCAAAGCTGAGCTCATTTTGGTTTGAAGCTTCGAGCAGCGCACATAGATCTAACGAGGAGAAAATCGGAAAAGTGATTCTTTTCTTAGTGAATAAATTGTTTGGTGAAAGCTATTTTGGTAAATATCATCTTGTCAGTTAGTAATAACAATTAGAAATTTTCAACCCATGCATTTATTCATATTTTTTATTAGAACAATGGCAAAACGTCCAACCACGAATGAGTCTTATGACACAAGTAGTAGTGAAGATGAGCTCCAGATAGACCTCTATACAGACATGTCAAACATGCACTAATCAGCCTGCAATGCATATTGGGGAGTGTTACAAAACTTATCATACTGTGCAAAATTATGAACAATAAAATATTGTTTTTTTTGCAAATACACATTCCTCGATGTCACCCAATTCATATAAGTCCAATATCATTATAATACGTTACTTGGTTCCAAAATTATACTAAATAATACGAGGGTCTGTAAATGCATGTTTCCGCCGCAAAGTAGCGTCGAGTACCTGGTAGCCAATGTCCAGAATGGTTCGGAGTGCAAAGGGTTAATTTTATCTGTCATTCCATTATCCATATGCAGATCTTCCTTGTGTACAATAACTTGTTCTATCAAATAATCATATCAAGGCATTCTGTTTATAATCTTCCCCAAAGTAGAGTCAGATAAAATTAGATATTTGTGTGCTTTGTGAGCTATCAGAACTTCAGACTTCATTACTGAATGCAATTTTAAGGCCAGGCATACAATTCAAAATATACACAAACTGGGTTAAGGTGATAGAGGTGGCTGAAAGAAACCACAGGATTCAGAACAATGAAACTATTTTGCTTGATCAGAACCATACTGTGAACAGCAAGTACTATGTGTATCTCAAAGCTCTTTTGTTGTAGTGCCAGTGGCTATTGTATGGCAAGTGGACAAACAACTACATGATCTGCTGGGAGCCTCACCTAAGGGATCATTTCTTCTCTGCCTCTTCTTTCTTATTTGTAATAACAAGGGTGGCCTTGATTGCATCTTCAGCCAGCCTGGAGCACTGTAGTTTCATAGGAGGAACACAGAGTTCCTTGGTAATACCTGTTTTTCATGATCAAGCCTTCCTCTACTATCTTCACTTTCATCCTTTTAGTGGCAAGAGATCTGGCAGCAGTTGGAGAACCACAGCTAAATGTTTTAAACCCTCATCATTTATAATCTTCCACTTTTCATCCACTTGAGTCTTTAAATAGCATATCACCACATGGTGGGATCCCACCAGTCCAGCTTCATAGGGCCTCCCCTGGTGGCGCAGCGGTTGAGCGCTGGGTTGCGAGGCTGCCCGCGGCCTCTGCAGTGCCAGTTTGATCCCCGGCCACTGGCGAGGGTCCCACAAAAAAAAAAAAAAAAAAAAGATGTGCATCACCCATCAGTCCAGCTTCACCATTTTTAGATGTCCTGTCAAGGGAACTTACATTTCTAGGATTTTCATAATGATCAAAAATCTTTTTGTGATAGAGCCAGCCTGCAGCTGACAGAGGCTGGCAGGTGTGGCCTCAAGGGGTAGTAAGGCCAAAGTTGCAGATGGTCTCTGCCATCTTGCAGGCTTTTGCCTGTGTGGGCCAAACATGAAATTGAGGGGGAGACTTACTGTATAACAATGGAACATCTTGATTTTTACAGTAGTTTTATTTCAAAATACCTGGAGTTTTTAATTGATTTTTTTTTTTTCATTTTTAAGTACCCTTTTATCTTAAAATTGCTCAGATAGCATTGTTTGTCAAATTCATTGACAAAAAAAGATGTGCTGTGAAATGCTTATAAACCAAATAGGTGCTAAAGTAACTACTGGTGACATTGTAGTTACTGGTGAAAATAACAGTGCAATTCCCTCTATAACTATGAACAGATTCTTTGCTTGTGGCTATCAAATTGTGACCATGAAAATGTTAGAAGACTTAATTTAATGCTATTTATTTAAATGGTGTAATGCATTTCTTCCACTCCTGCAACTCCTTTTTTAAGGCAGCAGCAAAAGTAGTGGAAAGTAAAAGAGCAAGAATGACAGCTTCTCAAGATAAACCTAATGATGATGATACTCAAATGGAAACCAGAGTTACTTTGGACATGCAAAAAAGGTTTGTAAATTCATTAATATATTTTTGTTTTATGTGCTAATTTTATTTAAAAGTGATACTTAGTACCCATCAGTAATAAAAATTACTGAGTTGTGGATATATCCCCTTAGTGATTATTAACATTGGGTATTTGGAGTACTATAGAATTACTCCATGGATTACACATACTCCTATATATAAGCTGAGAAAAAATAGTGCACCTTGAATAATGTGAATACTTTCATTTACCTTTCTAGGGGTGCATGTGATTTGGAATAAGGTCGAGGTTAGAAACCTGAATTATCTATGTCTCTTAGTTCTCAAATCCCAATGCCCTCATTATGTCATTTTTTTCACTGTATTGAGGCTTATTCTAGTATTTTGAGCATGTGAGATAACTGCTTTAGCTGGTACTCAGCTGAAGAAATAGCATTGTTCCAAAGCTGTGGAAACAGGCAGTGTCAGTCCTACATAATGAGATAAAAAAGTCCAGGGTTTTCCAAGGGTAATTTTTACACCCTTGTCCAGAATTGATTTTTAATTTTTGCTTTGGCTTTAGAAACTAACTTTATCAAGGAAGATTAAATTCTGCCATTACAAAGATCTTTTTCTGTTGAATCCCATCTATTCCGTCTGTCTTTTCACCTTTAATGCAAAGTCAGACAGTGAAACCCCTATGATCCCTGGATAATTGTATTTGGCAACGGATGTAATATAACTGGGGCTATAATCTGAGTTCTATAGATCCTTTACCTTAACCGCTTACTTACTCATATGAGACCTAGTTCCAAGTTAGATGAACATGGTGTTGGTCACACTTCAGGTCTGAGCTCAGTCTTATAGTTGACTCCTCGTGCCTGCCTCTCAGAGCATTGCCATGCTCTGCCCAAGACTTTTAAATCTTTTCATTGACTTTTTTTCTTCTGACCCCTTTTGAGAATTTGAGGTATCATTTCTATTGGCTCAATTATTTCGTTTAGACAAAATTTAATAATATTAAGATCCTGTGCATTCTTGTGACTCAGCATACCATGATTCTTGGAGATATTAAACACTTTTCTGAGGTATTCTTATATAGCATCACACACTTATTTCACATGACCTCCTAGACACAGACACAGTTTTATCATTATATGTAAAACAGAATTCTTGTTGTTCACATGTCTCTCTGTATCTTACTCCTCCTTTTCCTCATATATGCAGTTTTCTCCAAGTGTTATGATTAAGATTCAAGCAAATATCAAAACCATCCTGGAAACAAATAGAATCAGAGTAAAAAATATGTCACAGTTAGCAGTATCAGAACAAGAATCCTTAGGACACAAGTGAAGCTAGCATAGAATCAAGAAGGGTGATGCAAGGTAGACCAGACAAGTGCTAGGAAAGATGAAACCATCGTGTTATCAATAATACATGGTATATTTTGCTGTGATAAATCTTAAAGTCTACTTGAGGCAGTAAGAATTACATACATGAAACAAACAGCAGACATTAAATAATTTTTTGTTAAAGTTTAGAGCTAGACTTAAATGCTAAAGGAATTGAGATCTATAGCTTCACGGAGGTATTTGCATTGAGTAAAGCCTTAAAGGATAATTAAGATATTTACAGGTAAGCCTTATGTTTGTGGAAGCTAGCTTTAACTATATTGAAGGGGAAGAATTTGTTAAAAAATTCAGTTGAAACAAATTAAACTTGAATTTATAAAGAAAAAAGATCCATTGAAGAATTTTTGAAAGAGAAACATAAATGCTTAATTACCTCATCAATTCTACTTAACTCATGTTTGGGTAAGCTTGATTTAATATCTCTAGTAAGCTCATCTGGGCAAAATTAGCCATGTTGTAAACGGACTGTATATGTCCTAATGTTACCAGGGTTTCTTTTCCAAAGATATTTTTTATACATTGAAATATTATTTGACAATATGAAAAGTATTATGTTATCCTATGAAAAGTTTCTTCTGTTTTGATTCTTACAATTTTTTTTTCTCTTAAAGTATTAAACAGTCTGCGGTAACAGAATCATCAGGGGTATCCTTATCAAGGTGAAGTAAATTGACATTTGCCTTCAGTGTTCTTAAAAACTTTGATTAAAGCAATTCATGCAGACCTAGAAATATTATAATGTAAATAGTATGATTTCAAGAGTATCTTACAGTGACCTTCTTACCTCAATAGGTATTCAAGACCCTCACAGTCTTGAAATTCCAAAGTATAGTGACCTGCCTCTGTGATCTTGGGTTGTTTCACATTGTAACTACAAGACCACTATTGAAATGCACATATGGGGAGTACTTGAACTTAAAGCAGATGTTTATTAAAATAATTCGGTCGTAGAAACGACAATATGTTGCTGAGGCAGCAAACAAATGGAGCTTTCATTTTCAATGACTGTCTCAAGTTCCAGTTTTATGAAATTATTTGAAAAACTATAAATGTGACAAACAATACAAAATGTTCAGAGAGCAGAAAGTTTACACGAATGATTTCAGAAATCAAGCCGTTGGATTTCTAATTGTGACTATGGAAGGGAATGTCAGACTTGGTGTGGAGGAGGTCATTGGAAATGAAATAATTTGCAATAGTAGCAGCACTTGGGGTTAAGAGAAAGATTTATAAATGATGGGAAGTGCTTTGTGTCTGTAAAGAATGGTGGATGGTGATAATACCTCAATAGAATGAATCCTCAAGGGCTAAGTTTTTTGTGAAAGCAGTATCCTGAAGATGGCATTTAAGAAATGAAATGTAGGGAGACCCATCTCTGTGACCCTTGTGGTTCATGGGAGATTAAGCCAGTCTCTTCTCAAGAAGGCCACAAAAGAGAGAAGTACAAAAAGAGGTGGGGGAACTGGTCAGTAATTTGAGAATAGCAGTTTAAAGAGCACATTAGAAAGTTTTGGGAAGGAGGAAAAAGATTAATAGGTTGAATAGAACATTTATAGGGATGAAAGCACAGATTGTAGATTGATGACAAAATAGTTATCTAAGCTTATGTGAACTGTTTTATATTGCTCCTTTATAAAATTTTAATAATAACCATCTTTGCAGGGCTGTCAAAAAATTGTGCCATATACTGTATTTCCAAACAAGCTCTTTTTGAGAGCTATAAAAATGATTAAGTGGTATCTGCCATCATAAAGAAATTTGAGGGAAATCCCTTAAATGTCTTTGGGGGAATTTATAATCCACAAGAGAGCATGAAACTTAGTACTTTATAGTTTGAGAATTTTTTTTTCTTGATCTGTTTCCTTGGGAAGCTGGAGATTATTGATTTCTGAGTAGGTGAGATGGGGAAAATAAGTAGTGGGAGAGAAGGAAGTCAAACAACAAAAGTCTTTAAGAGGCCAAAGGTTAAAGACTGGGCACCAAGCAAAGGGAGCGCAGGGAAACAGGCCAGTAGAAGGTCCTCAAACAGACATTAGGAAAAATCATTTACCCTTTTCCATAGCTTTTCTAGTCTTTGTGGAACCAACCACGTCTTTCATATTTTATTTAGGTCTTACAAGACTTGCAAGAACCTCTTCTTACCTAAGTTGAAAAATGGAAACCGACAAAACAATTTTAATAAGAAGGAAGAAAGAATGGAAACTGTTCAAAGTGAGTACTGTTGTTACAGTTATAAAAGTGGAGAATCAGTGTGTCCTCAAAAGCTATCCAGCCATTCACCACCACCACCACCACACATACACACACATCCACACACACACACACACTCTTCAGAGTGTGAAATGAAACTTAGATATGAAATACCATTACTTTATAGAGTTAATTAGAGATGATGTTAATTAAGACTATTCCAGCTGCCTGTCTTAGAGTACTTTTGATAAAACGTTTTGCTGCTTTTCTACCTTAACTTTATTCAGCAAATTGAAATAATTACTTACCTAAAGCATCAGTATAGTTGATTATTGTTATTTGTGATAATTGCTGCAAAATAAGTAGGAATCATACTACTAAAATAATTTGAGGCTTTTCTTGGACTTTTAATTTCCTAATAATTTAAAGAAATGGAAGCATATATTTTTTATAGTCTAAATAGTTGATCAGTAGTCAAACCTTGGTGAAGACCATACCTCATTACAGAGTGTCTTGACCATGACTGGATATTGAGCCTAGAATCTTGTGAATTTTAGCACATTTCTTGACTTTTTATTAGAGGTTGGTAATATATATATTCCCCAAATTTCCAGGTTGCTCTCTTTGCAATTAGAAGCTCTTAGCTTCTTTTGTATTAAGTGTTTTTTTTTTTTTTAATTTTTTAAACACTTCAAAAAATAGTTTTAAGATTTGTAAGACTGCCCATATATTTAAAAATTAATTCAGAGAAGTTGAATGCAAATAAATCATATAAATTTTTTCTATACAGAAAAAACTTAACAGCCATCAGTTGAATGGTGATTCATATATGAGTTAAGAGTTTCATATATGCAAACTCATTTCATCCTCAAAAAAATCTTCCTATCTCCATTTTACAGATGAGGAGGCTAAGATAGGAAGAAATTAAATAAAATGCCCTGATCATACAGATAAATTAGGAGCAGAACCAGACCCAGAATCTGAAATCTGACATTCTGATTTCAGAGCCCCTCATCCTTATTTACTATGACAGACTGCCTCAGTGAAAGAACAGAGAGATTCAAAACAAAAATTTCGGAAAATGTGACCAAGTTATATGTTACTGTAAAATATATTTTTTAAATCTAAAGGATTCAGTAAGCTTCAGATAAATATTATTTCATAAGAAATATATTAGTGACCTATGTGCTTTCTCCAAAATGAAGAAAAAAAGAATATAAAATGTTCTGAGAGATTGGTTTAGGTTGCTTCTATCAATGTAAATTTAAACTGTATTTTAAAATTAGTTTAATCAGTCAGTTTAAAAATCAATCAAGACTATTTATTTTAGCTGTAAGAAATCATATTGGCAAAAAGTGTCTCCCACCAAATCCCCAATTTTTGTTAGTTATATTTCATGTGATCAAGGTTTATAGCATTCTGTTTTCTGGCCATAAATCCAAGGCAGTTAAATTTGTACTTCAGTTGTTATATTGCTCCTCACTAATCCTTTGACCAGAATTTCCCTTTTTCTAGAGCTTCTTTTCATTTTATTCCTTGTTTGGTTGGGTTATTTTAAAGAAGAGCTTATAAGTACTATAATTTCTAAATTTTTGCATATCCTAGAATGTCTATTTTTTTCCTCAAAGGAAATAATATAATTTGAAAATACTTTTCCTCACAACATTACTCCTTTGTTTTCTGACATTGTGTATGATACTGTGGACAAATCTGACTTCAACTCTTTGTCTCTGAATTGTTTTTTTTCTTAGATGTCTGCATTTTTCTAATGTTTTCATTTAATCCTATAAATTCTTCTTTAATCATACTTATAACTCACATATTTTGATATGTTGTGTTTTCATTTACTTCAAAAATATTTTTTCATTTTTCTTGAGACTTTTTTTTTTTTTTTTTTTGGCCTCTGAGCTATGTAGAAGTTGTTTATTTAATTTCCAAGTATTTAAGGACATTCCAGGTATCTTTCTAGTGTTGATTTCCATTTTAATTTGGCTCTGGCCTGAGAATACTTTGTAGAATTTCTATCTTTATTTTTTTTCATTTAACCTTTTTTTACTGGGTGAGATATGGGTCTATCTTCTTGACTGTTGATAATGCACTTGTGAAGAATGTGATTTCTGCTGTTAAGTGGAATGTTGAAAAATGTTAATCAGGTCAGGTTGACTCATAATGCTTTCTATTTTAGGTGGTATGTATAATTACTTTGTACCTGCTTGTTTTACCAGTTACTGAAATGGATTTATTAATCTTCAGCCATAACTGTAGATTTCTCTATTAATTATGAATCTATTTTCTTCTTGTTTTTTCAGCTCTCTAGCACCTTTTTAAACAATTCTCAATATAAAAATCACTCTTTGTAATGAGTGTTGTTTTCATTTTCCTGACTGGTGTCTAACCACAAAAGGTCTGTTCCTGTAACAGTAGCATTTTCTCAATTACTGTAATTTTATAGAACTCCATATGAAATACTGGATGGAGGACCATACTCTTCATCTTACTATTGTTCCTCAGGAGTATCTTGACAGTTGTTCATATTCTGGTATTTTATGTTGTTGGGGCAGGGAGGCAGGGGGGATCTTCATATAGAATTGCAATCAGTAAACCAACTATCACTTCATAGGTCCCAAAGCAAGGCAGATTATTGCAACCCAACAAATATAATGACATCAGCACAGTAGCACTAATTTCCCTACTCCAGTACAGTGGGCCTGGGTAGATGCTATGTAGGTGGTAGCTAAGAAACTTGAAGTCAAAGGCTTAACATTTGAGTAAGTAGCAAAACATCATATCAGGTAGCAAACAAACCCATCCCCTCCCTCAGTAGAGATTTGCTACACCATGGTTCTCTTGACCTATTTTGTTAGTTATCTGACAAACTGCAGAAACCGCTCATCAACAATAACTTTAGAGATGCTCAGGACCCGTGGTTGGACAACCTCTTCTAACACATATAACCTTCAAATAATCTCACTAAGTTCTACAAAGAGCCCTGTTCCTTTTTTTTTTTTTTTTTTTTTTTTTTTGAAAATGCATTGTAACAATAGGTCATTTTGGAGATAACTGACACAATTAAAAATATGTAAGTTCCTATGCATGCACAAAAAGTGTATTTCTCTGTTTAGATTGCCTTGCATATATATATATTGTGTGTGTGTGTGTGTGTGTGTCTGTACACAGGTCTTAAATAGATTCAACTACATATCTTATCTACTCATATTCATACACACACAGTAAAGCTTTATAATTCACTATATATATATGGTGACCTCTTTTGCTAGATTTATTCCTGTAGAATGCTACTTTTGTTACTGTCTTAACTCTCTTTCAGTTGTTTAAGTAAATATGTAACTGTTGCTACTTTGCAGAAATACTATTAAGTTTCATATATTGGTCTTATATCCAGCCATCTTACTAAAAAAAACCCTTTTTAAATCAATTTTAGGTGTTGTGGAGTTTTTTTTTTTTAAGATTTTATTTATTTATGCATACAAGAACTGGGGTACAGGCCAGAAGTGTGGGGGTGAGAGGATTCACCAGAGACAGAGTGGGGAACAGAACAGGCAGATTGACCGAAGTACACTGCTGAGGGGAGCAGCAGGTGAGACAGGAGAGGTCTGCTGCGCCATGTGGGTTGCTCCCTGGCCAGCCTGGGATTGAATGAGTGCTGCAGTTACTGTGGCAAGCTTCACCAGGGAGGCCCCAATTTTAGGTTTTTCACATAAACAGTGATCTTTCAATAATCACAGGCATATTTATTTTTAGTTCCATATACATTTGTTTCTTGTCTTTAAACTATGAATAAGAAAGAGGAAGTGAAGAAAGGGCTGTACAACTTTGTTTTTTTTGTTTTGTTTTGTTTTTGTTTTTGTTTTTGTTTTTTAATAGAGGCATGCTTTATTTATTTGTTTGCTGGTTTGTTTGTTTTGTTTATACATGCACTGGGTACAGTCAGAAGCGCGGGAGGGTGAGAGAATTCACCAGAGCCAGAGCAGGGAGCAGAGCAGGCAGAAGGACCGAAGTACACTGCTGAGGGGAGCAGCGGGCGGCAGGAGAGGTCTGCACGCCATGTGGGACCCTCCTCCGGTGGCCGGGGAGCAGCCGGGGATCGAACCGGCGCCGCAGAGGCCGCGCACAGTTTCGCAACCCAGCGCTCAACCGCTGCGCCACCGGGGAGGCCCAGGGCTGTACAACTTTGAACAGCACAGCTTTGACCTGTGCCCTTTCACTTATTATGTGGATTTTTTTCTATAAATACAGTTGATATTCAAAGGTTTCACATTCACAGAATGAACCAACTGCAGATGTGGATCTCTCAGGTACAGAGGGCCATCTCAAAGAAATTTGAGCAGCCAGGAATTGTGGATATTAGGGGGATATTAGTTGTGGATATTAGGTACTGCTGTAACCAATATTCCATGGATGTCAAGGAACAACGGTAATTAAGTTTTGGAGGGGCAGCAGTCAAAAGTGAGTCAAGCTATGAGGATTTTCTCTTTGGAGGGGTCTCACACCTAACTCCCACATTGTTTAAGAGTTAACTGTGCAGCTTACACTGTCAAATACTCCTTAGACCATTATTTTAGGTAAATATTTTTGTAACATGATGAAAAGACGGGTTCTAGGAGGTGAGATGTCATATTTTTAAAGACATAATCAAGATTCAAAGCACAACCCTTCTGATTTTCAAAGACTTGTCTTTACCCTGTACCAAGCTATTTCTGTTTTCAAAGGGAGAAAAATAGAGCAGTTCACTTTCTTTAAAATAGTTAAAAAGTAAATAGGAATTTTTTGGTGACCATTTGAAAACAAAACTTAATGTGAAAGTTTTTTTGATGACAGTATTTCTACTTTAAGGTGAAAGAAAGAAGAAAGAAAGCCATAGACAAGCCACTGAAAGCAAGAAAATGCGTGATTTACACAGTCAGTCATTAACTCCTGAAAAACACCGTTCTAGAAGAAAGCAGGTATTTTGTTTATTATATTTAGTATATAATGGACATTAAAGTCATAACTTTAATGGCTTTGTTTCACATAAACCCTGTTCAACCTTAATCTTGAGTGTAGAACATTATTTTGTTTATCGTTACTTTTGCAATCTTAGATTAATTGATGGTTGTTCTAAGTTCCATGAAAATACTTTACCCACATATGTTGATAGTATGTATTTAGAATTAATGTAATACTATTTATTACAAAGTCAGTTCATCAGATGTAAGATGGAACTTAAATCTCTATTATAAACTTTAATATTCATAATTCCCTAATATGGACCCAACTTCAATAAGGTTCTGTGCTTTAAAAAAAAAAAAAAAATCAAGATACCATGTGCAAGTTCTATCAATTTTAATACTCATTTTACTTGTTTCCCGTCTCAGTCATAGTCCTTCAAATTTTTCTTTGGTTCCTTTTCTCTTCTTTTTCTATTACATGTATGTTATGCCTTTTGTAATTGTCCACAATTCTTGGCTAGTCTTGACGCTTTTTTATTTCTTTTTCTCTTGGTTCTTCATTTGAGAAGTTTCTGTTAACATCTTCAAGCTCACTGAATCTTCAGCCATGTCTAATCTGTATGCTTTGATAGGACATTCTTCATTTCTGCTTCTTTATTGTTGATTTCTAGCATTACATTTTGATTGTCTCTTAGGGTTTACATCTGTCTACATTTACCCATCTGTTTTAACATATTTGCTTTTTTTAATTAGAACCTTTGGCATATTAATGAAAGTTACTTTAAATTCCCAGTTTCATAATTCCAAAATAACTGCCACAGCTGAGTTTAATACTGATTTGTCCCTTTGGATTGTTATTTTGTCTTTTAATGTACCATATTATCTCTTCCTTGATGTCTGGATATGATGTATTAGGTAAAAGTTGCTTAGGTAAATGGGCCTTTGGTGTGAAGTTTTATGTTTATCTGGCTAGGAGGGGGGTCTGGTTTACTGTTTGCTGTAGCTATTAAGTATCAGAAGCTAAAATATCCATGTTTTTATCTCTTGTTGTCTTTGCATTTCCCTAGAGACTCCTTATTAAGGGGCTGAGGCAATTCTTTCAGCTAAGGCAATTGTTATATAGGAGCTCAAATAATGTGTTGGTAAGCTAGACGGGGCAGGGGTATTGTAGTTTTGTGATTTAGTTCCATTCGTTTAGGGAACCTGGGCTAAGACCTTGACACTTTTCTCAGCTTTTATTTCTCCCTTTTGGGTGAGACAGGAAGGTGCCTGGAGTAGAGTTTTTAGGAACTAGCAAAATAGTTTCCCTTGAGGGCAAGTTTTTGTGAATAAGAACAGAATGCTCTAAATGTTTTTCAAAAGCGCTATTCCTTCATTCTGCCTGCTAAAAGCAGGGGAGGCTCCCCCCCCCCCCCCCCGCCCAACTTCACCCTGAGAACCCAGTGGGACTTCTAGAAGTAAAACTCAAAAAGTTTGTAAAATAGCTCCATTAGGATTGGATTCCTGGGGTTTTTTGCTCAAGGTTTTCTATAGTGGATCTCCATCAATTCATCCACTATATTAGCATTAAGCATTTCTACTACATAGGCTCCAGCTATTAGCTTTTGTTCTTGGTAAGGGGAGGGGGCGGGCTGTCTGTGTGTGTCTGTGTGTGTGTCTTTATATCTTTTCAGCTTTCAGGTTAGCAGTTTGCCCTTTGACATGGATTCATTAATGGGTCTAAGAAAACTATCTATTTGACTTTTTCAATTGTTATATGGACTGGAGCGACACTTCTAAACGTTTTTCCTGTTGGTCCCAAAAGTGAAATTCTCTGTGTCATGTTACATAATCTTTCCCTGTAGTTCTTCTAGCAATAATTCCAAATGGGATTGTAGGTGTTATTTATAGCTGTGTATCACAAAAAGTTTCTCCTTTTTTTTTCATTTGTATTTGAAAAACAATATAAGATATCAACTGCAGTCTTCCATCACTTAAGAACATTTTGATCAACAGTGACCCACAAATACAATGGTGGCACCAATAGCTCCACCATATAGTCTAAGTGTGCAGTAAGTTTTGTTTATACCACCTAGGTTTGTGATTATACACTGCTCACACAACAATGATATCACGTAACATTTTTCTCAAAATGTATACCTGTCATTAAGCAACTCATGACTGTATATAACTTAAATAATAGAATATAAGTGATACATAATCTATTTGCTGTTTGCTCACTTTAATATTTTAGTTTTCCACTCTTGACTTTTTAATAGGACTACCTGTTTTGGAGGAATGACAAATTTTATCTTATTTTGCATTGAAATTTTGGTCCATTAAAAACTTTCATTGCAGAAATTTGCATAAACCAGGAACTAGTTTTTAGAGCTCAATAAATATGTGACAATTTCTTATACAACAGAAATTTTTAAGTTGGGAACCATGAAAATCTATAGGTTTCTTAGGGGAAATGGAAGTGGCCCTTGCAGTTTCATGTAAAATTTTAGATATCTCTGTCTGTGAAACAGTCATAGCTTTCATCACATTCTCAAAGATTCATGTGACCCCAAAGATTAATAAACCAGTGCTGGGCCTCCCTGGTGGCATAAGGGGTTAAGCACAGCATTGTGAAGCTATCTGCAGTCTTTGCAGCACAAGTTCAATCTGCAGCACAAGTTCAATCCCCAGCCAGCCAGGATGCTACTCACATGTGGCAGTTTTCATTCACTCTGCCTGTTCTGTTCCCCACTCTGTCTCTGGTGAATTCTCAAACACACACACATAAACCCCTCACAACTCTGGCCTATACCCCAGTTCTTGTATGCATAAATAAATAAATCTTTAAAAAAAAAAAAAACCATTCTGAAGTACTTTTAATCAGTAAGTCTATTTCCCTCCTCTTTAAACTTGTTACCCCAGTCTTACAAAATTTGTGTCTCTTGGTTTTGTGTCATTTACTAACAACCAGTGTAGGTTGGCTTAGTAGAAGTTGTGAATTCTGGATCTCTCAATATCTTAGAAGGTTATAGGAGGACATATCAGCTTTTGGAGATTGAGTAGCCCTGCACCTGTAGGCAGCACAGTTGCTGATAGGAGAATCAGCTATCAGCATGCATGGAAAAGATCAGATACCTTGGGTTCAACTCACAAAGCAGAGGAGATAACAACAGCAAAGGAATCAAATTTTGGACAGTCCAAATAGACTTCTACAAAGGTGTTCATTATCTCTGCCAGTTTTATGGCACTGAGCCATATATAAGACTGTTCTCAATTCTTCTTTGTCTGCAAGCTACCGTGAATACTTTTTTAATAGTGCATCAGACAACTGAGCTGAGTTTTTTATTTTCTTTAATTATAAAATACACATAAAAAATTTGACATTTTAACCATTTTAAAGTGCATAATTCAGGGGCCTCCCTACTATGAAGCTATCTGCAGCCACTGAAGCATGAGTTTGATCCCCTGCCAGGGCGATAACCCACATGGCACAGCAGACCTCTCCTGTTTCCCTGCTGCTCCCCTCGGCAGTGTATTTCAGTCATTCTGCCTGTTTCGTTCCCCACTCTCTATCTCTGGTGAATCCTCTCACCCCCCGCACCTCTGGCCTGCATCCCAGTTCTTGTATGCATAAATAATAAAATCTTTTAAAAAAAGTAAAGTGTATAATTCAGTGACATTAAAAATATTTATATTGTTGGGCTACCATTACTACCATCCTTCTGTAGAACGCTTTATATCTTATAAAACTCTACACACATTAAACAATAACTTCTCATTCTCCTCTCCCTAACCCAAGCTCTGGTAACCACCATTCTACTTTCTGTCCCTGAATTTTTTATTGTTTTAGGTATTTAAGTAAAATCATACAATATTTGTTCTTTTGTGTGTGACTTTTTTCACTTAGCAAATTGTTCTCAAGATTCATCTACATTGTAACACGTATCAGAATTTCCTTCGTTTTTTGTTGGTTTTTTTTTTTTTTTAATTTTATATATTTTTGCACCATGTATGCGTTTTCATCTTGGTTATAGTCCCCATACAATCCCCAACCCTCCTTGTTTTGATCCTACTCCCTCCTCCTCTCCCCCACCCCCTGCCGTAGTGTGTCTCTAGTTTATAGTTGCTTGTTGATTTTGATTGATCCTTTATTATAAGGATCTAGTCTTTTTCCTAGTCCCTTATTTAGGTTTTCTAAATTCCTGCTATTTAAGGCTGAATAAATCTCATTGCTTTTATATACCACATTTTGCTTATCCATTCAGTGGACATTTGGGTTGCTTCCACCTTTTGACTGTTGTAATACTGTTATCAGTGGGGTAGACAAATTTCCCTTCAAGTCCCTTTTACAATTCTTTAGACTTTATACCCACAACTAGAATTGCTGGATTACATGGTATTTCAATTTTTAATTTTTGAAAATCATGATACTGTCTTCCTAGTTGCTGCACCATTTCACTTTTGATTTTTTAAAGTAGCAGTTCTAATGGGTGGAAGGGATATCATCTCCTTGTGGTTTTGATTTGCATTTTCCTAAAGATTTGTGATATTGAGCATCTTTACATATACTTACTGGCCATTTATTTATTTTGGAGAAATGTCTATTCAAGTTTTTTGCTCATTTAAAAAAATTTTTTTTTTTTTTTGGTGGGATCCTCGCCGGTGGCCAGGGAACAAACCGGGGCTGCAGAGGCTGTGAGCAGCCTCGCAGCCCAGCGCTCAAGCACTGCGCCACCAGGGGAGACCCCCTAAAAATTCATTTTTTAATAAAATAGTTGTTTTTAATTGTGCCGTGGGTGACAGTAAGTACATTCTCACTGTTGTGCAACCAATCTCCAAAACTTTTCCCATCTTATAAAACTGAAACTATCCATTAAGCAGCTCCACATTTCCTCCTCCCCCTTGCTCCTGGCAATCATCATTCTCCTGTATGTTTCTATGAGTCTGACTGCTTCAGATACCTCATATATGTGAAATCCTACCATAAATATTTAAAGAAAATGTGAAAGTCCACCTGGGAAATTCTCATACTATAGACACAGTAAATAATCACTCAGCTCGTATTGTGCCTTTATCATGTCAAAAGAAATAATTAGTTGGTCACCTATTAACACAATCCACATAATAGTAACTTTTTCTGTTTATGATATCAAATTTGATCTTTACGAATTTTCAGTGATTTTCTCCAAAAATATTTAATAAAGTATTAAATATTCACACATTCTATTTAGAGATATGTGGGGTTAATAAATACCAATCTATTAACAGTTGTAGAAAAATATCTTAAGAGATAGGGTAAGCTTAATGTTTAGCTCTGTCACTTTGTAGCTGTGTGATCTTGTGCAGCCTACTTACAATGTACTTCATAAAACAGTACTAATAAGAACCCTTAATCTCATGATAAATGTAAGATTTACAGAAATCTAAGAAATGTGTATAGAAATTTTTCTACCCTTGAAGATAGTAATATTTGAATTTTTAAATTATATTTATAGAAATATGTTCTTCAAGAAATTGTTTCTGTGAATAACTTTTACTTTTTATCAAAAGGCATGGCTTTGGGAAGAAGACATGAATCTAAGATCTGGTGTGAGGAAATATGGAGAGGGCAGCTGGTCTAAAATACTGTTACATTATAAATTCAACAACCGAACGAGTGTCATGTTGAAAGACAGATGGAGGACTATGAAGAAGCTAAAACTGGTTTGCTCAGATAATGAAGACTGAATGTTTGTAAAAACTTAATAAAAGGACAGTTAAATATTTTGATCACTGCATTTTTGTTTGAAATCTTGTGGTCATTAATGTTATAATTTTTGTTCAAAGCATTATAGTATTTTTCTGTGACACTATCTTTTAATTAGTATGAGGATTTGCAGTATAAGATTATCTGTCATCATTGTATTCTTTAAGAATCTTTTTTACTTTGATAAAATGTAAATTTTTTGAAACCTAGTGATTTCAGTACCCCTACCCTCAAATCCTGTTCCAATTAAAAAATATTAACCTGGTAAGAGGAAAAAATTAATTTCTGCTAACGTATCCTATATATGTAGGCTTACATCAACTCAGATATATGTGAAGTTTCTAAATTGGTAATAATTGGCCTTTGACCTGAGAGGTAATGACTTGATTTATGACCTTAATCTATCACTAAGTCATTTGTAAATAGAATGATAAATGTACAAAGTATGTGTGAGTTAAAACATACTTAAATATTCTCCTTAAATAGTTTCAAATAAGGGGGACAATCTTGAAAATAGTTAACACCAATTAGACAAAATTTGCTCTATTACCAGAAATGGTTTCGTGTCTCTTTTAAATACATTCAACTTTAGTTCTAGAGTTAAACCCTTGACAAAGATAGTTTAAAATAAAGAGGCTTTATAACTTAGTGCTGTAAATAATCAGTTTCTCTGCTATTTTTATTTAGTATACCAGTATTGGGCCTAAATGGTGTTTTGTAAATGCTTGTATCGGTATTAACCATAGTTATTGTGTGTCTAGAACAAATAATAAACAAGGTTCTAAATAGACAATTTTGACTTTTCACCAGTGTTTTGTTCTTTAGAGAATTTGGTCAAAGACTGGTAGAATTATTTGGCATTTTAAGTTACATAGCTCTATTTAATTTAATGGAAATTCTGAAGTATTAAAGTATTTGCACAAAAAGTTAAATGGTGGTATTTTGTCATCTGTATTTTAATATACTATTAAAGTTTTGTACATTGCTTTCCCATTGTTTTGAATTTTTTTATCCCACATATATAATGGTAAACAGAAATGTGGACAATTACTGTTTTTCCAGACTCGCTCTATTCTATCATGCCACTATCATGCTACTGTTTTTCCACACTCGCTCTATTCTATCATGCCACTGTCACTGTGTTTTATTGCAAACACTGATAATACCAAAGCTGGCAGCATGAGTCAGAGTGGACTTACCTGTCAATTTCTTCATTCCAAACACATTATTATAATCATCAAATCTACATTGCTACTAGACTGTAAAATACTCAATTATTTTATGTGCCGTTAAAAAACATCACTTCATACTATTTACACAATTATACATAGTATGGTACTTTCCTATTTAGAATTTTATCTTATTAAAAGAGCTATATCAGATTAAAAGATTTGTATATAGCATATGGATACATATAAAAAGTTGAAGCAAAATAAAAATGGGTAATGTGTTCCTTAGAACTTCATCTTCTGTGTGAATTATCTTAAATTCGTTTGAGATAATCATAGATTCATTTACAGTTATAAGAAATAGGGCCTCCCCTGGTGGCGCAGCGGTTGATCGCTAGGCAGCAAAGCTGCCCAAAGTCTCTGCAGCATTGGTTCGATCCCCGGCCACCACATGGCGCAACAGACCTCTCCTGCCCCGCCCACTGCTCCCCTCATCAGGGTACTTTGTCAGTCTGCCTGTTCTGTTTCCTGCTCTGGCTCTGGTGAATTCTCTCACTCTCCCGTGCTTATGACTCTACCCAGTGCTTGTATAAATAAATAAATCTTTAAAAAAAAAAAAAAACAGTGGCCCCTTGTACCCTAGTTCCAATTTTCCCCGCATCATTACATAAAACTGCAGTATATCACATCAGGGTATTGATACTATAATCTACCACTCTTACTTGGATTGCCCTAATTTGTGTGTCTAAGTAGGCTTAATATTATAAAGTGTTTCCACGTATGAAGATGTGCTTATGGAAGACAAATTAAAAATAAAGACCCTTCAGTGCCATTTATTAATTTATTAGCTCTCAGCTCCATCCAAATCCACTTTACTTTTCTCTGCTTTATGGGGGACTGGACTATAAACATCACTTTACCTGATAACATTGTTTTTTCAACAGTGCTTTAAAGATGGTGACAGGAAGACTATTCCTTTCCACCTCTGGCTGTCATTACTATCCAGTACAGGAGCTATGTGGATGAGTCCCAGCCTGTTCTACCCCACTCCGCTAACCTTGGGGGTGCTTCTCATTTTAACAGTTTCTTCACCACCTGCAGGCTCCATCATTTACAACACATGTTGCATCCATACATATGCTTCTCCAGTTCTTCCAGTGTGCTTGTATCAGTTTTTGGTTAAATCATTAATCAGTGTTTGCACTGTTCTATAACTCCTTTACACCTGTGTTATGTAGTTTCTATATATGCATCACCTATTCATCTCCAAATTTTTTACCAAATTCAAAGTGAGTATATTGAAGTATGTCAGACATTGTTATGTCATTGCTTTCTTGGTAACATCCCTGTTCATATTCCCATGTGTCTGGTTGCTCTCCAGGCCTGCTAAATAGTTAATCAAGCTTACTGTTTCCATCTTCTTTGCTCTGGAGTTTCCAATGGTCTCTCTCCTGAGTTGGATTCCCTAGTTCCTGGATCCTCTGCCTTGGTTTGTACACTCTAACCAGAGCATCTCATACTGTGTCATCCTGAGAAAAGATGCATACAATGGAAATTTTTTTTTTAAGATTTATTCATCCATGCATACAAGAACTGGGGCACAGGCCAGAGGTGTGGGGGTGAGAGGATTCACCAGAGACAGAGTGGGGAACAGAACAGGCAGATGGGCTAAAATACAATGCTGAGGGGAGCAGTGGGTGAGTCAGGAGAGGTCTGCTGTGCCATGTGGGTAGCTCCCTGGCCGGGGATCAAACTTGTGCTGTAATGGTTGCAGACAGCTTCATAGGTTGCGTCTTAACCCATTGTGCCACCAGGGAGGCCCATGGAAATTTCTTTTATCTCCAAGTCTAAAAATATCCATACACTATTCCTACATTTGATGAATAATTATTCATTGCATATATTTTTTGAACATATAATTTAAGTTTGGAAAACATTTTCTATCATACTTTCAAAGGCATTGCTCTGTTGACCTCAGTAGCAAATGTTGCTGTGAGTAGTCTGTTGCTATTCTATTGACTGATCCTTTGCCAATAACTACTTTTTTCCTTTCTTGAAATTTAAAAATTCCTCAATATTACTGATGATCCGCAGTATCACGGTAATGTGCCTTTATGTGAATATATTGTCCCACCATTTTCTTTAATCTAATTAAGCCAGACACTTGGTGGCTTTGGAAGTCTGTGCTAAAATATGAAAATACTCTATTTCCTTGCTAATTTTTTTCTGATTTCTTTATACTATCTTTCTGGATTCCCATTATCCTGATGTTGGATTTGTGATCTCCAATCTTTGGTTTTTATATCTTTAAATTATTTGTTTACTTTCTGTTCCTTTTTCTACTTTTTTCCTTCTCTTTTTTCCACTATTCTAAGGGGTCCCCATCATAATCCCCCGCCCCGTTTTCCTGAGTGGGTATATTTTTATTTGAATTACTTTCTACATGCACTTTTGAAAATTAGTCTATTAGGAAATCACAGGGTTAGCAAATCATTGTAGAGACCCATGTACTTAACTGTAAGGTACTCATTTAAAAAAGAATATAAAAGAAGTCTTAAATTTTTTTTTATCTTTATCTTTGAAAATAAAATTTTGGCCTTTTCATTCATCAGTTGGACTATGTGTCAGTTCATAACTGTTTTTTTAGACTTCACTAAAACTAATAATAAACTTTTCAAGACCATTGATAATTAAGACTTTAAGCCTATGAAATTCTTTCAAAATTTGATAAAAAATATATACTTATATGAAAGTAAGTCCTGGCCATCCACTGCATACTAAATGCAGCAGGTGAACACTGATTTCATATAAGACAAATAGGTTAAATGTTAAAACACATATTGGAATCATAAATACACCATAGCCTTATAGCTACCTATCAATTCTGAAGGGATTTTTGTTTTGTTTTCGGTAAATTTTGTTCATCCTCTGGCCCATCCAGGAAATTTGGGTAGATTATAGTCAAACAAAGAGCTTAAAAAATGTGAACAAAGTTTATTTACTGGAATAAAAAAAATTAAGTAACATTGAAAATTCAAAAATACTGCTTTTAAAATGGTAGAAATTGTCCTAAAATATTAATGCTAAGCTTGAAGTTCCTAACAATAATGAAATTCAAATTTTTTATTGTTAATTTCTGAAGAATTTAATTTACCACAAAACAACTTTGACAGTTAAATGGGTATAAATTCAGAAACACTGTTACTCTCAGCATTAAATATTTGGGACTTATCCATCCCTGTTAAGCTCACTATCATCATTCTTTCCTCATATGATAACTACCAATAAATATGTATTTTAGTAAATCATGTTAGTGTATTATACAAATGAAAATGAATGGATCACATATAGTTTAAATCTCAAGATTCAGTTTTTCAATGCAAAACTCCTCCCCGAAAAATAAAAGTTTGTTTCAAAAATGAAAAGAACTTTGCTTTTTTCAGCAGGCTTTGGCATAGTCACACTTTCATCCAACCTGATTCCTAGATGAAGAGCTGAGACTGGCTCTATGGCTGACTTACAGAATGGCTTCATCACATCCTTAAGCCACTTTGTGTCTGGTTCACTGGTTTCCCAGTCATAAAATAAGGAAACTTCTCTCTCCGTCTCCTGTCCTCTCTCCTCCCACCCCATGTGTGTTTAGGTCCTAGCATTTGTAATAAAATCCATACCTTTTATGATATAAGTTGTAGAAAGAAAAGTAGTAAGTTTACTTCAATTAAACTTGAACTCTGAAAGATCCTTTTAGTCAGTTTCAGACCTCAGGCTTTGAAAATAATCTTAGATGCTAATGATGGTAGAATTTTCACAAATCAAGTAATTGTTTCATTCATTAGAGACAAAATTCCTGTCATGAAATATCATTTAAAAGGAACTCAAATTGACTTAGAATGAACATTTGATTGATCTTTTCAAGTAAGTGAAGAAAATTTCTTATACAAAACAGTATTTTTAGCATGGCTGTTGATTTTTTTCATTACAAAATATTTACTAAATCTTAACCTGCCCTATGGAAAAAAATTTGTGATGATCTTGAAATTTTTATTTTAGAAACCATAAAATAATATATGTGAATGTGTAAGAATATACATATACACTTTTTTAATAGAGAAGCTTTTAAGGAATTAGAGAATAGAAAAAAAGTGAATCTATGATTCAAAGCATGGATACTCTTAAATGACAACCTACACACCAATAGACCACGTTGTAGTAATTTTCGTGGCTTTAGATACAAATTCTGTCATGTGAGTCACCTGCTGAATGGGAGGATTCCAGGTGTAAAGTCAAGGAAACAAAACCACAGAAACTATTAGGTTGGGCCCTCATCTTGGTAAAAATGAAAAGAAAGTTCCTGTGTTTCTTGAGAACTGGCCCCCAAATTTTCTTTCTCTATTTCAGAGGGTGGGAATGACATATGGTCAGAGACATCAAACAGTTTATGAAGGCTTACGAGGTGTTGAATATGACCCGATAACATTTGACATGTTTACAAACACATTCTGAAATATCCACATTGCATCTATATAAAAATAAAACTGTGAACAGCTGGACAAGAACACTGGTCTACTCGCCGAACTTTTTTCCAAGTTCCTTGGCATCGAGGATTGCCAATTGCTTGCCAGTGGAGAGTCTGATTTCTGAAATGATATTTTGGAAATGATAGTTACACTAAAAGCAAACTGAAGATAGTTCTAATTTACAAAATTCTAAATTGAAGTGGTTTTTTTTTTAAAATCACACATGGAGTTTTGAAGTGTGTTATAAATTGAAATTTAATAAAAAAAAGATTGCAGTGCTCACTTTGGCAGCACATATATTACAGAAGTGATTACAAACTGAATTTCCCTTCTTGGATTCTGTCAAAATAAGTTACCAATGAATCCCTATTTGAGGACACTCTCATGCTGAGAGAATAGTTTAAGGTTATTGTATTCATTTCTCTCACTTGATCTAATCATATATTCAGACATAGATAAAGAGCCACAAAAAGGAAAATGATTTCTTGCTTCAAGTATATTTAAATTACAGGGTCTACACTAAATAATCTCTTGTAATTCTTTTCAACACTTTGATTCCATAATAAAAGAATGGGAGAAATGAAAAGAGCAAAGTGAAATTATTAAAATTATTATTTTAAAAGTCACTAGTACCCTAAGTCAAGGTTTAGGGTACAAATTAAATTATAAGTTCATTTAAAGTCAAAATAAGAATGAGATACTCAGAAAAATACTAAGCCTAAACATTAAGTTTCTATTTGATATGAATTCCTTACCCACTTTATTGTTCATATGGTGTACTCAATACAGAGACTACTAGGCACAAGTGACTAATAAAAATAAGTTCAAGTTATTAAACATTAAAATAAACTATGGGAATAATGATTAACTGGAAAGGTTCATATTTTACTTTCTAATCTCTATTTTTACCAGTTCCACCTGACATACTTAAAACCATAATCCATGAGTGACTTGAATTGGCCTTAGTCCAATAACAAAGTTTGCTGTTCACTTAACGAAGAATAATATCAGATTTAAAGATAAATGTGCACAGGGCTGGAGTAGATTTCCAGGATGAAAAAATGTTTTCAGTGTAAGTTCTTTGGATCAATCTATAGATTTCTATAGGTTTAATCCTCTGCAAGGCTGAGCCTGCCACTATCTCAGCTCTGATTTTATGACTGTCCCAGGTGATTCTGACACTTTGCTGTGGCTAGGAATCATCTGAGCAGGGTCAGCATACTAAGACCAATTGGGCCCAATAACCCAGTACACCACATTTTTTTGTGTAGTCTGAATTAAGAATGACTTTTACATTTTTAAAGGATTGAAAACTATAAAGAGAAGACTATCTTATTACCTATGGAAATCATATGAAATTCAAAGTTTAGTGACCAAAAATATAGTTTCATTAGAACAAAGCCAAGTTTATCTTTTTACATAATGTCTATAGCTGCTTTCATCCTATAATGGCAGAGCTGGGTAGCTGTAAGAGTTCATAGTGTTCACAAAGCCAAAAAATACCTACTATCTGCCAAATCAACCTAGAAGTTTGTTAAATATCCACTCTCAAGATTCTGACTCAGTCACTCTACTTTGGGGCTAAAGAATTGGCATATTTTAAATCACTCCCCCAAGAAACTGTGATTCAAGTTGTCTTCAGAACAGTGCTTTGGTGTGATACGGTTTTCAATGATCATTGGGGAAATGAATCTGAACCTAAGTATACAAATTTACCCATTTATCTCTGATACAGAACCCCTGAGTCCCATTATGTGTACTGAGCACTGGACTCAGGAATTGCTGGTGAAATGTTCTCCTCACTTTCCGTCCAGCTTCCCAGGTCTTGCTGATCTGTTAGGTACTGGTCAGCTGTTCAGGACAAGGGCAGGACAGATCTCCCCAAATGAGTAACAATAATAGTCCTTCAACCACTTTCCCTCCCTTACCCATCAGAGTCCAGGCCATCGCCGGAACAACGCAGGCTCACAGAGCTCATTGCAGGAGGCTGACAATCGACGCACACCGTGTACCCCTCTCGCAGGTACTGCATCCATCGAGTCAGGGGTCTGTTTTCCATAGCACAGTGATGAGTCAAGGACTCTGTCTTGAACTCCACACAGTAGCTGGATCAAAAAAGGGAACAATTCCATTTGCTGTCATTAGAGATGGTCTAGTACTATAAAAATCTCAGGAAGACCATACTCCCCAAGGACTTTTTTTTTTAAGATTTATTTATTTATGTATAGAAGAACTAGGGTACAGACAGAGGTGTGGGGGCTGAGAGGATTCACCAGAGACAGAGTGGGGAACAGAACAGGCAGACTGACTGAAATATACTGCTGAGGGGAGCAGTGGGTGAGACAGGAGAGGTCTGCTGCGCCATGTGGGTAGCTCCCTGGCCAGCCGGAGATCGAACTTGTGCTGCAGAAGCTGTGGATAGCTTCACAGTGCTGTGCTTAACCCCTTGCGCCACCAGGGAGGCCCTCCCCAAGGACTTTTGACAGGCTACATACAGAAGGTATGACCGGGCATCTTCGAAGGTTGCACAGCAGCCTGGAATGTCTTGTAAAGTTTCTCATTCACTGAATTTTGACAACATCTGACTGACAACTACAGTGAATCTTTTTGCTCTTTTTCAATCCACGATTGAACCATGTCTTCAACATGAATTTACAGAAATTTGGATATCCTATATCCTCTCTACTCTGACTACTAAGTTGTATGTGAAAATACATTTCAGTAGGAAAACAGTCCTTGGTAATGTTGCTGATATTTTAAGAATCAGTTGAACAGGCACTGGCCTTAGCCAGAGAACATGTGAACCCCAGGAGTGCAGTCTTGACTCCCAGGCCAGCACCCAAGCTTTTCTGGCCTCAAATGTTCCCTATACCCCCACTCAACTCACCAGTCCAATCTGGGGTAATGATATGTGTTTTGGTTTGAGGTCAAGCATCAAAGTCATGCCGGGCATCACAGAGGAAAGGGGAAGCTGAGATGTGTTTTTCTGTGGCAAAGGCCAGTGTCTCCAAAGCCATGGAAAAGTAATACTGAACATGTGACCAGGCTCTAAAAGCCCCAGGGCATCATCCAGACATGGGTGAATATTTTAGAGTCTTGTACTTAAATGCAACACAATTTTACAAACTTTTGTGGGAAACAAAACATAGTAAAAGCCCTGAATGTTTCATTTTTTATTCTAAGTAAGTTATACTAAGGGAGTTTCTTACTCATAGAAGCATAAATTGTATTAGTCTAGATTAAGACTGTTGGAAGCATCTGCTTTGAAAAAAGAATCTGACATTGTAAATGCTATTTATTAGGTACTTTTGGAAAGTGTACCTACAACCAGCTTCAGACAGCTTAACCCAGACATCTCTCCAATGGCATTTTCTCATGAAATTCTCATAATTACCCCATATGGTCAATAATAGTATTTTCACCTTCTGAGAAGGAAAAACTGAAGTTAGATAAAAAGGACAATCTATCTAAGGATAAATGGCTAGTGAATGGCAGTGTGAGGATCTGAATTGCAGCCACCTGCTGTCCCGATCTGAGAGCAGAAAAATGGACTTCAAGTGAGCACGGAGGTGCCTCCCAGCCTGTACCATTAGGTTTTAATAAGACATCTTCAGAGCTGGAAATGTGGATCACCCCAAAGAGAGTGGAGCTCGACTCCCTGCTCCCAGAGACTTTGAGGAGCATCCTCAGTATGACTGATGATAGCCTCTCATTTTCATACAGCATGTTTCTTGTTGGAGATCAGACCTCAGAGAAAAATCAAACAAGGAGAGACAAGTACTTTCCCAGCCCTGTGGTGGAGAATCATGTTTCACTGAGAGTCAGTGAGGAAGTAACAGGAGAAACCCACCACTCCTCGCTGATATTATGAGCTGACTTGACCGTACCCATGAAAAAATCTAAGTTAAAAAACAAAACAAAGGAAAACATGGAATTACCCGGCCTCCTCTGTGTCTGTAGACCAATGTGGAGATGCAGCTTGTCTTGCTCTTTCCTTGTTAAACGCAGAGGTAGTTATGAAAGCAGGGACTAGAAAAGAGAGTCATGTTGAACACGGGCAAGCAAGTACTCAGAGCTACATTTTCCAAACTTGGCTCCAAACCTGTCTAAATCACCCCATCTCTCAGTCTAAAGGGCTGTTGCACGCCATCAAGAGTGGAATGAAGCTACCGTACAGTGTCCCCAGGACCTAACTCCATCAAGATTGGCGGGTATTCAGTACACGCAGTAAAGGGGGGACTGCAGGCATTTAACATGCTTGTCTGCAGTACTCAATAACACTGTGTGGAAAGGAAGCCAGGGGCAAGGAAAAACAGCCAAAAGGAAATAATAAAGAGTGGGTGGGGGAACAGGAGGTAATAGATACTATGTAGAGAAGTGGGGGGATTTTTTTTTTCTAATGAAAGGAAGAAATAGAGAAGAAACTCGGTAAGAACAAGTAAGTGGTTAGAAGGGAAAGGGAGGGAAAAGGAGAGAGGAAGACTACAAATGAGAGAGCCCAGAGAATAGAAGGAGAAAATAAGACAATCAGCAAGAAGGGAAATGAGGAGAAAAAATAGAAGCGAAAGGAGTGGAAGGTGTGATCCCTGAGTCTTCCAGTTCCCTGGCAGCTTCCCAGACACCCTTATAGCTTGGGATGTGAGCAGCCAGCACAAAGCTCTCACGCCAACCTCGGGGAAGGAAAGTCAAAAAGTGACTCTCTCGTCTTCCTTTTGTTCCTCAAACACTCCCCCAACTCTGATGTTCGGGGTGGGAGAAAAGAAAAGGAGGAATTCTTTCCTCCATATTCTGTCTCCTCTTTTGTTTTTGTTTTCTTTGGGTGTCTCCTTCTTATTTTACCTCTTAATCTAGGGAGGCATCTTAGCCGTGTAGCACCTAGAGATAAATTCTTGATTCCACTCTGCCATCAACTCTTGAAAGACAAAGTTTTTGGTGTATCACTGTAGTCCGCACACATTTACACATTCTGCAGCGCCGGTTCGATCCCGGCCGGCTGACGAGGGTCCCACATGGCGCGGCAGACCTCTCCTGTCTGGCCTGCTGCTCCCCTCAGCAGTGTATTTCATCAGTCCGCCTGTTCTGTTCTCCGGTCTGTCTCTGGTGAATCCTCTCATCCTCCTGCGCATCTGGCCTGTACCCCAGTTCTTGTATAAACAAACAAATCTTTTTTAAAAAAAAATCAATAAATATGAATGTGAAGAATGAATGTGAAGAATGAATGTGAAGAATGAATGGGTCTACAAGTGAATGAAAGAAGTCACAGGATTGCCCCAGGTGCACAGGTTCCACTTCCCTTGGCCTCCAGTTCCTATTTTGAGTCTTCTGACTGAGATGGCTCAACAATCCTTCCTAGCTTTTGTTTCAGAAACTGACCATCCCAGAAAGGCACATTTCAGCTGATACTTGATGCTAAAATCATTCATCAATATGAACAAAATGGATGCTTCATAGATGCTTCCAGCCTGCAGATTCACTTTACCTGGCTCCTTACTGCCACAAGATGGCAGCTCTAATTCTTTCGTAGATTTTCTTAACGAAGGAGTCATTTTTGTATTACTGAGGAATATAATACAAGAGTGGCTAAATAGCCACTTGCTTCTAGGAGTTGCAAGTACTGTGCCTGGCTCAGGTGGTTTGGCACCTAATTTCTCCATTGTGAAAGTAAGCCACATCTAGATTGCACCTTGGAGACCCTGCTGCATGGCTCTTTCTTGCTGCACTAGTGTGTTAACTGTTTCCAAAAAGAACATTTAGAATATATCATGCATTCTAAATGTGACTGTGGCTTTTGAACTTCTAAAATCCACAGGAAGGCTCAAACAGAACAAGTGAGTACACATATGTGAAGATCCTTCTTTCTGCCTCATACATCAAAAACAGAAACATCTAAAGGAGTTTAGTTTTAATTTCTGTTCTACTGATACATTTATGTATTTATTTACTAAGTGAAGAATACATTTACTGCTAAATCCTTGTAGCATTATACTAAACTGTTTCTTTAGCTCAAAGCATTTATTTGATCTCCTAATTTGTCTTGACTATATTATTACAAAAGTTCAAAGTTAATGCACTTAGTGTACAGCTCAGAAAATAAAGAGATGTGTAAGTAAAGTATATGAATATAGTTTTTATATAAAATCCTTAGAGAAAGTTCTATAATAAAGATAAAAACTAAACATGATGCATGTCGAAGTTTCCAGGTACAATTCTAAGCATTTTTCTTGTGTTAAAGCATTTACTTCTCCAATCAACCTCTGAGAGAGACCTTATTTTTTCCCCATTTCACACAGGAAAATGAGGGAAATGTGGCACAGAGAGGTTAAGAAATGTGTTCTGTTATAAATCAATGCTATTTCAATTAAAAAAATTTTTTTTGAAAAAAGAAAATTTAGCATTCAAATGGAGGTGGGCTTAAAATGTATAATTCACACTAGATTGCCAAGATTTCCTCTGAAAGGAAGACTGTAAATGATCTTGTCAATTTTCCATATTGATTGCATGTTGAGATAATGTTTCAGATGTATAGAGTAAAATAAAATATGTAGTTAAAATTTAAAAAAAAAGAAATGTGTTTAAGGCTCATGTCTAAATGATGGCAGTATCAGGCAGTCTCCAAAACCATGCCAAGCTTGACTGCTTCCATTATAATGCAGAGACAAAATTTCATTATTTTACACAGCATAGTTCCTGGAAAAATAAAGTCAATGACTAAGCAGTAGTCCCAACACAGAAAATAGCTTTGCTTTGTAATACCGCCTACCCATGCTCAAGGTCAAGCCTCTGTGGTCAGCCATGCTCAGGGTCAAGTCTTTGTGTTCATTCCCTCCTGCAGGCCTGGGCTTGGTTTGGTAGCAAGTTCTATGGAGAGGGTATCCTTCTCCCTGGCACCAGTCTTCAATAAAGAATCCAGGAGCCAGATCGCCCGGAGGTGCCTGAACCAGCACCACTTTTTAATATTCCCCACAATTTAGATTTTCATTGCTTACAAGTGGTTAATAACTTAGAAATTATTTTTGCCTCCAGTCCCACTTCTGCTTATGTGCAAAAGCACGTAGCCAGGCGCCCCAGGACAAAGGTTCACCATAAATGCTGGTTCCCTTCCTTTCTCCTTACTGGCAACAATATTCAAATGTAATACATTCTTTGGCAGGCTATTTGACAACTTTTTCTGGCATCCTATCAGCCTACCATTGTTCAGTTTTTCAAAACTTCCACTTCTAAAAGCATGGCACCACACATATTTTCTTTGAACATGAAAGTAAACTTGCTTTGAGAATTTCATAAAGTCCTCTGACACAAAAGCAGGCTTAGAACCACAGGTTGGTAGACATAGTGTGAAAGAGGATAGAATGCAAGTTTGATAAATGATGCCAGCCTGAAAGCAGAGTTTCTATTAACTAACTGATCTTACAGATGAAAATGCATATAAACAATTGTCAGTCTGTGCAACAAACTCAGTGAACTTTCTGGATTTGGTTTTATGAGAAAAATATAGTCATGATATGCATTAAATTAAATAAGAAAGGGCCTCCCTGGTGGTGCAAGGGGTTACGCACAGCACTGTGAAGCAATCCCCAGCCTCTGCAGCATGAGTTCAATCCCCGGCCGACCAGGGAGCTACCCACATGGCTCAGCAGACCTCTCCTTGTCTCGTCCGGCCCCTCTGTCTGCCTGTTCTTCTCCCCACTCTGTCTCTGATGAATCCTCTCACTCTCCTGCACCTCTGGCCTGTACCCCAGTTCTTGTATGCATAAATAAATCTTAAAATAGTTAATTAATTAAGAAAATGCAATAGTCACTTGATCATTGTAAGATAGTGATTGCTTCTGTGATCATGTTTCACCACAGGCTTTACAAGGCCCTCTATATCTCTAATTACAGTTACCTGTGGTTGCAATGTTAGTTTAATGATGACAATTAGCAAGAAACACTACCACAGGGTGGGAGAATGCACATGATCTAGAGCCTTGAAATCCAGGTTTAAGCTCTGGATCTCAAGTGCTGTCACCTCTCTAAACACCAGTGTTCTCGGCCTAATGATGCCACCCTCCCTACCTCTATCATAGGCAGAATAATGCCCCTCAGACATATCCCTGTCCTAATCCCAGAACCTATGGATATGCTATGTTACCTGGCAAAGAGGTACTAAGGTTGCTGATGGAATTCAGGCTGCTGATCACATGACTTTAAAATAAAGAGGGTATCCAGGATTATCCAGTGTACCCCATGTAATCACACAGGTCTTTCAAAAAGTTGGCCAGAGGAATACGTGAGTACAGAAGGCAGGCACAGAGAGGTGTAACGCTGCTGGCTTAGAGAGAGAGCCATGAGGAAAGGAATTTGGGCAACCACAAGACAATGGAAAAAGCAAGGAAACAAATTCTCTCCCAAGGCCTCCTATACGGAAAACAGCCCGGCTGAAGCTCAATTTCAGCCCAGTGAGTCCCATGTCTGACTACTGACTACAGAACTAGAAGTAATACATTTGTGTTAAGTCACTAAGTTTGAGGTAAACTATTACCTCTAACTTTCTGACAAAAAGTCACACTCTTGGTGTTTTTCTCTAGACCATGTTTCCCTTAGTTTGAATCTCTTAATTTCAGCATCCTTGGCCATTTGGGGAAGCTGAGGCATTCCCAATTAATCAAGGCCTTGTTCCATTAGGATTAAAATTCTTCCTTGTATCTTCTCTTTCCTCTCCCATCTCACGGTAAGCAGCTAGCAGAAACCAGATCAAACCTTCAACACCTGGAAATCTCCTCAGTTAAATATGCAAGCTCCTCTTTATGGCTTCACTTTCCATATAACTGCAGGCCAGTTCTGCTAAGCTTCCTGCTCTTATATTCCTGCCTTTTCCAGGAAAAGGCAAGGAAATGGATTGCCTGCTTAAGTCTTCAGAATAGCCCTGCCTCACCCTTGATCATAGCCCTATGAGAGCCGGGATGGACTTCCATCCCACTGACCTGTGAGGTAATAAATGTGAGTTGTTTTAAGCTACTAAGTTTGTGATCATTTGTACAGAGGTCACAGAGACCTGATACACTCTTACAGGATTACTACGAAGAAGGAATCAACAATATCCAACTATCCACAGAAGTTCTGCTCTGCAACTGTGAAGGACTGGTGTGCCATGATGCTCTGTGAACAGGAAGTCTAGCGGAGGAGGGAGGTACACAGGCACACACAGCAGGACCCATGGTCCTGGTGGGTGCCCCGCTCCATGCTCCCAAACCAACCTGAGCACACTCTATCACAACACTCACTCAGCACCCGAGTTATAATATGCTGTGACATATTGGCTACTCAAATTTGTGTCTCCAAAACCTAGCATGGCACTGGCATGAAGTGTAGATGCTTAGTGAATCTGAAATTAACAAAACACAGAAATGAATGCATAGGAAATGGTATGAAACAGGGACAGGGCCCTAGGAAAACCCATAAAAATGGATTTTCATGTTACTGTTTCTCTCATTTCCCACTTGATTGCCCTTAAAATGCCATCATTTTCTAAGTGTATTCCACAGAACACTAGTGATTTAGGGAGTGGGACCTTGAGAGTAAAGGGTCAAATAACTGAGTAAAGTGGGAAAACATTCCGATTTCTTTCTTGAAGAATGAAAATGCATACTTACATAATAAAGCTTTGAAAAGTTCTTTGGTAGAGAAAATTGTCTCGCTGATTTACCCCACAGTTTGAAAATGAAGCCCGTTTTTTTTTGTTTTGTTTTGTTTTGTTGTTTTTTGCATTTAAGGAACTGCGCTTTCAAACAAGCAAGCATCCTTTAAATGATCCAACCTGCCACAGGGGACCAGTGAGGAAGCAGGTGTGGTTGTCATGAGGTTTGCGTTAGAGCAGTGTCTGTTCTCCAACATCAGGGAGCAGCAAATCCCCTGGAGACTTTGCCACAGTGCACAGCACCCCTTCCCCTTGCCCTGTCCCCTTTAGATGGTGGGTTCCCCGCATAGGTTACAAGTCTCACGCTGTGAGGAGCTTCCCTTCTCAAGTAACCCTTGTCCAAGTACCACCCAATAAAGCTGTGTGCCTCTCTTGGACACATTATTTTTCTACACCAGCCTCCAAATCCCTGGAACTTTTTATACCTCATCTCCAGGCCTCTCTGCCTGGGTAGCTCCATATTTCTCAGCTGCACCTCCACATCCTCAGGGAAATACTCTCCTGGTCAGCAGAAATCTGATTATTACCCACACCCACTGCTCTCACTTGCTTGGTACCAGTTGCACCAAATTACAACTATAATTTTCTGAGATTAATTTCCTAGGATTATCTGGTTATCATTCACCTCTCCCCAACATACAAACATACTAGGCTGTGATCTACAGCAGGCTCCCCATCAATTTTTCTAACCACTGAGACCCCATGAGCCAGGCAAGTGCTTGGCAACAAGTAGATTCTCAAAAAATATTTGTGTAGAACGAAAAAGAATAAAATGGCATGTCATGTTGGCATGAAAATGTCCAGATTCCTCTGAAAGCATATGCGCTTTGCTATCCTGGGATGTCAGAGTTTTGCCCTATCAGGTTCCATCTGTTCAACACAGGTATGGCCTTTCGCTTCTTTCTCTGAGCCTGACCCCTCCGACACTCACTCCACCGCCAGAATGATCTTTTCAAATCGCAGATCTGATTACATCAGCCCTAATCCAGCTGACTTGAGAGGAGAGAAGCGGGTGTTTTAAGAGGATCATTTATCAATGTTTAGAAATGTATAATATACTGGGCCTCCCCTGGTGGCACAGGCAGTTGAGCGCCGTGCTGTGAATGTGTCCGCAGCCTCTGCAGCGCCGGTTCCATCCCGGCTGGTGAGGGTCCCACATGGCGCAGCAGACCTCTCCTGTCTCACCCGTTGCTCCCCTCAGCAGTGTATTTCGTCAGTCTGCTTGTTCTGCTCCCCACTCTGTCTCTGGTGAATACTCCCACCCTCCCACACATCTGGCCTCTACCCCAGTTCTTGTATAAAATAAATAAATCTTTTTTTTAAAAAAATGTATAATATTCTTCCTATTTTCACACATGTGCAGTGAGTGACCATGAATAAATAGGAATCACAGTGAAATAGCTATTCTTCTGGACACTTAGCATCCTCTGCAAAATATCCTCATCCTACCTAAAGCTCTGTTGCCAGCTCCATCAAGTTCACTAAAGCCCACAATATGCATACCCATTACACTAAGTGCAAGCACAAGAGAAGGAGCCATTGGGTAATAAACACACTGAGGAGGGGTGGTGGGAAGGAGGACTTTGTGCAGCTACCAGGCCACTAATTCCTCCATTAAGCATTTCCGGTGCTTCTTATCTACTGTGGTGAGCCTGGCACATTTCCTATTGCTCACGGAACTTTCCTGTACAGCACGTGGCCCTTAATAGACAAAGACACGGAAAGTCATCAAAGGCAACAGAAGCAGCAACCGTGAAAACTCCGTACCGAAGGCGTGCCCGCAGTCCTGGCCCTGCGGCGTGGAGTAGTGCAGGCAGCCGGCTCTCTCTTCCAAGGGCGGGCAGGGCGCGCCACCGTTCCGGGGCTCCTGCTGCACCGAGCGCCTCCGCACGCGCACTGTGGGCTTGCACTGGTCCCCGCAACCACTCCAGGGGCTCCATTCCCCCACGATGCACGGGCGAGCTGAAAAACAACAGCAGGGGACGCTCATCTCAGTAACCCCAGCCGCATGTTGGGCTGCTCTTGCCAGCATCAGCGGTAGAGTTTAATCAGTAAATGGAGTTTTAACCCTCGTCAGGAGGGACACACAAAGCCTCTGCAGGCCCCAGTTGACGCTGACTCCACCCACCATAATGGTTAGCTGGTAACCTCCCCCAAGCAGGCAGATATTTCCGGAACAAGAAGGTGGGTCTGAGCCAAGGCCGCAGAGATGCTTTCGGAATACTTCCTCAAACTCCCAGGCTTAGGTCAGATCTTGCTCCTGTTTTCCCTTGATTTTAACTCTCACCTCCACATGCCGAGAAAATTTTTATTGTAACAGTAATACATATTCATTGGAGAAAACGTAAAGGAAAAAATATTTAAAAGAAAATGTCCTTCAGCCACCAAAAATCCCATCACCTACACAGGTCAATTCTTACTAGCAAATGTGCCTCCACAGGTATTTGTAAGGCCATACAAGGGACCCCTGCCTTAGGCTTCTGAAAGCTCTACCCTCATTCTCAAGGGCTCATAGACTCCTCAACTATGGGACTTGCAGCTAGAGATAAGCAACCTGGGCCCACACAGGTCAAGACTACTCGTGGACTTCCATGACCAGGCAGAATCAGGGCAGTTTGGGCTTTAGTCAGCAACCTGGCCAGACTGTAAAATCAATGTGGTTGAACATATACCTTTCCCATTTAAAGTCTTAATGAGTCTTCCATTTGTGGCAACATGGATGGAGTTGAAGGGATTATGCTAAGCAAAATAAGCCAGAAAGAGAAACATAAATACTGGATGGTGTCAGTTAAATACAAAGAAACCAAACAAAGGGTCAGACAAAGACAAACTTTAAAACTAACCCTTGAAAGCTGACCATAGACCTAAGGCATCCAGAGGGGGAGGGGGAGACATGAGAAGGGGGTGCAGAGGAAGGAGAGCACATTGGACTATGGATGCCTTGGTGGTGGGAGCGATAAGGTGACCACACTCCAGGAGCGAAATCCTACACTGTCAAGAAATTAACAAGGATGTAAAGCAATGGTACTTCATTTTAAAAAATAATAAAATTAAAATAAAGTCCTAATAATGAGTTTTAAAAATTAATTATTTGGGGGGCCGCCCGGGTGGTGCAAGGGTTAAGCCCTGCACTATGAAGCAATCCACAGCCACTGCAGCACAAGTTCAAACCCTGGCCGGCTAAGGAGCAACCCACATGGCAGAGCAGACCTCTCCTGTCTCGCCCGCTGCTCCCCTCAGCATCTGCCTGTTCTGTTCCCCACTCTGTCTCTGTTGAATCCTCTCATCCCCCGTATCTCTGGCCTGTACCCCAGCTCTTGTATGCATAAATAAGTAAATCTTTAAAAAAAAAAAAGAATTATTTTGGGACTTGAAATTGTATATAAGAACAAGAAACCAATGTACCTCTGAACTAGATGCCAGACCTCTTATCTTTCCCACAAAGTGGGCACCATATGAAGGTAAGAAAGAGAGTAAAGATAACTATTATTCTATTATTTTCCTTCACAATCACCTTCATTCTTTTGAGTTATAATATCTTCACCAAGAAAGCATCCCACTTCTTTACAAGTTTGATTAGAGCTTCTGGCAGTTTGTATTGGAAAACTTACTGTACCTCTCAGAATACTCTAGCTGAGGGTTCATGACTTTTGATCAATGTGTCATTTGGCAATGCATAGCAACCCCTAATGTGAAAAGGGTAACATGCAACATAGGTGTCTGTTGATGATTCAAAAATTTCAAACAGTTTTAAAATATTTTGTTAACCATCTAAAATTCCCAACTATCACTGATCATCTACCTGTTTGAGTAATTCATCTGTTGGGGGAGAAAAGGATGTTCTGAATGAACTCCACAAACACAGGTTTTATGGACTTTACCTCCATCCCAGACCAGAAATTCAAGACACCAAAGCTACAAATCCCATAATGCAATCACCACCAAAGGGAGGAATGCTGGGAACTAAGGGTGGAGTTAAGTAGCCGGGCTTGATATATAACCAGACATGTGAGCATTGGGGGTTTTTAGTTTTTCACAGACCTTCAGTGTGCTATTGGGGTCCCAGCTCAGTGGAACTGGTAGGACACATTCACCAACTTCTCTCTCTCTCTCTCTCTCTCTCTCTCTCTCTCTCTCTCTCTCTCTCCCTGGATTATTCCTTTCTTCATTTCCCCTTTCTGTAAATAAATCCTTTATTAACCTTTTTGTGTGTGCCTGGAGTTGAGTCTCATTGTAAGTCCCTTTAAGTGTGTGGGTGAGGAACCACACTCAGGCCAACCATTTCACATTGGGGTTGCCATGTAACACATCCACACTAGAATGAACCTTGTTAAGAGACTTGAAACTTCCCTCTATCTTCCATGTGCACATCCTTTGGAAAATCACCAAGTCACTTCCTGCCATTGTCTCATCTCCTTGACCCCTCCCTTTTTATTTTCACATTCCTATGATTTAATTGGTCCATAGGACCAGAAGGCATTGAAAGAGATGATAGGGGAGGAGCTGATTGAGAAAGACTCCTTCTCTACACAATTCTTTCTCCCCCAAATCTCTTTGCTAAGCCTAGCTAGCCATGCCCTGATGTGTTAGACTTGAACAACTTAACAATATACTTCTTTTGTTAAATACAATTGTTTCAAAGATTAATATTTAAGCATCACCATGAAATAAAACTTCGCCATAGCAAAGTGACCTTGGGTTACATTTATAGGCGTTAACATTAAGGGGAGTTTTCTAACTGAATTTAATATTCCAGTATTACTCTCTTATATCTAGTGCTTATTATTTTATTGTTAGATCCATAGATTAAGTCCTCAACTCACACCAAGAGTGAATCAGTTATTGTTCCTATTGGTTAAATTTTGTCCTTGGCAAATGCTAGATGCTGTTTTTCTTCTTTCAATAGCCCCATAAAGAGAATCGAGTGTTCTGGGACCCATCATTTCAAAGGTTTCATTGTAAGACAAAATGAAAAATGTTCTCATACAATATACGAGTAAAAAGGTACTCCACAAAATATTTTGAATTAGAAGATTAATCTGAAATTATTTGTTCCTATTCTGCATGAGTAATTCTATTCTTGGTTAACTTGTGAACTTTTGATTATATTTGGAATGTAATTCATTGTAGATCACAAGAGATCTCTGGTCATGGAGGTTAGGGGAAGTGCAGGAACTTCTGACAGATTTATTACCAGAAGTGATATATTATAGCACATGACACAAATTTCCTTTTGAACTATTCCATTAGCATTCTGTCCCCTTCCCACAAAAGCTCATCAAGTTTACATCTTAGCATATCGAATATACATTCTTAAAATCATTCTTCACATTTCTCTAGCTATTAATGGAGGCTGACAGACTATTTCCCAGTGAGCTCTATGTTCTCCTTTGACTCCAAATCATCACAGATGTCTTAATAGTTACAATTTTATGACATTCCATCCTTTTCAGGGGCAAGAAGCCTGGATTTAATGAGTGCCAAGAATCTTTGACCAACTCTTCTTTGTTTAAACTCATCATAATACTCGGGTTGATTTTCTCCAGAAACTGACCGTGAGATATGAATTTGAGTAGAAGTCATTTATTAGGTTAGTGATCCCTAGAAGTATACAAGAAAATGGAGAAAAGCTAGAGAGAAACAGGCATAGAAGAAAACAGAAAGATGAAGTTGACACCTAAGTTCTGACAATTGGCTCTTCATTCACCAGGAAGTAAGAGCATAGATGGATCCAGAGTGCAGGCAATTATCAAGGTCTTCCTGATGGGTCAGCCTGTCCCTGTTCCTTAGGAGTTTTCTGGTTATGAACTGTCCCCACCACCACAGTCAAAAGGAGAATGGCCAACAACAGAATAATCAATCTGTGCATAACAAGAATAAGGCACATTTTCTCATGTCTTACAGGGCTATCTGGCCATATGTAAGTACAATGACCTTAAAAGATGTACCACTGATTTTTATTTTTTTTTTTTAATATTAAATTTTATTTTATATTCCCCCATACAATTGCAAACGCCCCATTCTGACCCCAATCCTTCCCCTCCCGCCCCCCACCCCCCAAAAAGTGTCTCTGGTTCATAGTTTTTTGTTGATTTTGATTTTCACTTTCTTATATTCATTTTCCTGGTCCCTTATTTAAGTTTTCTAGATTCCTGCTATGAGTGAGACCATCCGGTATTTTTCTTTTTCTTTTTGGCTTATTTCGCTGAGCATGATCCCTTCCAGCGCCATCCATGTTGCTGCAAATTGCATGTGTTTATCTTTTTTGAATGCTGAGTAATATTCCATGGTATATATGTACCACATCTTCTTGATCCAGTCATCTATTTTTGGGCATTTGGGCTGTTTCCAAAGCTTAGCTATTGTAAACAGTGCTGCTATAAACATAGGAGTGCAGGTGTTCTTTGGAATTGATGTTTCTGTGTCCTTTGGGTAAATACCTAGGAGTGGAATTGCTGGATCATATGGAAGCTCTATGTTTAGTAGGTCCAGAAATCTCCACACAGCTCTCCATAGTGGTTGGACCAGTTTGCACTCCCACCAACAGTGCAGAAGAGTTCCTTTTTCTCCACATCCTCGCCAACATTTGTTGTTGCTAGTTTTTTTAATATGTGCCATTCTCACTGGTGTGAGATGGTATCTCATGGTAGTTTTGATTTGCATTTCCCTGATTACAAGTGATGTTGAACATTTTTTCATATGTCTGTTGGCCATTTGCATTTCCTCTTCAGAGAAGTTTCTTTTTAGCTCTTCTGCCCATTTTTTGACTGGATTATTTTCTTTGTTGTTGCTGAGTCTCATCAGCTCTTTGCAGATTTTTGTGATCAGTCCTTTATCATTAGTGTTGGGTGCAAAAATGTTCTCCCAGTTGGTGGGGTTTCTCTTTGTTTTTGTTATTGTCTCTTTTGCTGTGCAGAAGCTCTTTAATTTGATGTAGTCCCAGCTGTTTATCTTTCTCTTCA